CAAAATATTTCAACAACAGTTATTAGTCTGTCTACAGCTTCAAATCTCAAAATGCTCTGTTCCACCTTGTGATGTCATGTCAACAGCGACCTGAGACTGGAAGTTCCCAGGCAGAAATTATCCAATGATTCTAGAGAAGGTGCATGGTGTATAAAAACACAGTGGAGCACTTCCTGTATTACCACATGACATCACAAAGTGGAACAGTGTTTTCTCTTTGAGAGAAGAATAAAACAACTCCGGGTATGAACCAACATTAGAACAGAGATCAGAAAATAGCATAATATGGATCCTTTAGAATCAGCTACAGGCCCTTTAAATGTCCTGAGTCCCTCCATGTCCCATCTCTTTGAACAACGTGTCCTCTTTCTACAGTTCAAGGTGGTCGCCCAAAGTGACCATGTGACAAACAGCTGCTCACTCCAGGGTGCTGCCTCTGCTGGTTCAGACCGGCACTGTCCCAAGAATTGACCCTAAACCAACTACTGCGGAGGTCAAAGGTCAAGAGGATGCCTGTGAGACCAGAACAGAACAAGACGTGTCACATGTCATACCCTTAACTCTGAGGGACAGGGAGAAACAACGCAAGTGGACACTGCTGTCTGCCATGTGAAAACATACAAGCGGATTTTTCAAACAAAATAGTTTTGATCAGAAATCTTTTCACAAATGCACATTTTAAATACATACGCAAGCATTGAGACTTGAGAGAAGACTGAAATTTGAATCCCATGTATTTCAGAACATGTTTGTGAAAGTCTAATCTACAGGGTTAGGAACTTTTATAGGCTTACACTAAGGCTGAATATGTTGTTTGCAGAGAAAATAATGTCACTCAAATAACTGTGGTGCTTGAGATTCACTAGCAACCTTCCAATTCTAATGTAGGTGTAAAGGAACAGTATGTCGTTGTGCTCTTACGTTTAACCCTCACACTCTCCTCAGGGTAACATTGACCTGAAGAAAAAAAAAAAAATCCCACTCTCTTGGGGTTGGTCAATCAGACCCAATAATTTATTTTCAAATAAATTCTCACCAGGCAAGAAAATAAATTTTTGGTTCTGATTGACCCACTCCAAGAGAGCGGGAAGGAAAAAAAAAATTCTCCAGGTCAATGTGACCCCAAGGAGAGTGTAAGTCTAAAAAAATATATATACAGACACAACTGAACCTGTGTCCCCAGAGCCTTGACCTGCAGACAGAGACACATCCACATTTGTCTTATTTTCAGAATATACACAGAGCATGTTACATGTGAAAACTCAGAACCTCCAGAATTCCCTCCCTGAGCTGCAGAACCTGCACTAGCACTGACTCATGATTGGCTGCAGGGTTTAGGGAGTGGCCGTTCAGATGAGAGAGAGGCATTTCTTAAGAATCCAAAATACCAAATTATAACATATAAATACATATAAATAAATGGGACTTGATATCTGACAAATTATCATAACTTTTATCACTAAAAGCTATATGAATATGATTACCTCATATCTGGGGACACAGAAACTTTATGAAAAAAAAAAAACTAAATAAAAAAAAATATTATATATAATAATATTATAATATATATTATATTATTATAATATATATAAAAAACAATCTCTCTCTCTCTCAGTTCAGTGGACTAGTGTGGGTGGGGACAGTTCTCTTACTGGAGTGGACTAGGGTGTGTGGAGACAGTTCTCTCCGTGGAGTGGACTAGGGTGTGTGGGGACAGTTCTGTTGGTGGAGTGGACTAGGGTGTGTGGAGACAGTTCTCTCTGTGGAGTGGACTAGGGTGTGTGGAGACAGTTCTCTCTGTGGAGTGGACTAGGGTGTGTGGAGATAGTTATCTCTGTGGAGTGGACTAGGGTGTGTGGAGACAGTTCTCTCTGTGGAGTGGACTAGGGTGTGTGGAGATAGTTCTCTCTGTGGAGTGGACTAGGGTGTGTGGAGATAGTTCTCTCTGTGGAGTGGACTACGGTGTATGGGGACAGTTCTCTCTCTGGCATGGACTAGGGTGTGTGGGGACAGTTCTCTCCGTGGAGTGGACTAGGGTGTGTGGGGACAGTTATCTCTGTGGAGTGGACTAGGGTGTGTGGAGACAGTTCTCTCTGTGGAGTGGACTACGGTGTATGGGGACAGTTCTCTCTCTGGCATGGACTAGGGTGTGTGGGGACAGTTCTCTCTGTGGAGTGGACTAGGGTGTGTGGAGACAGTTCTCTCCGTGGAGTGGACTAGGGTGTGTGGGGACAGTTCTCTCTGTGAAGTGGACTGCGGTGTGTGGGGACAGTTCTCTTTGTGGAGTGGACTACCGTGTGTGGGGACAGTTCTCTCTGTGGAGTGGACTAGGGTGTGTGGAGACAGTTCTCTCTGTGGAGTGGACTAGGGTGTGTGGAGACAGTTCTCTCTGTGGAGTGGACTAGGGTGTGTGGGGACAGTTCTCTCTGTGGAGTGGACTAGGGTGTGTGGAGACAATTCTCTCTGTGGAGTGGACTAGGGTGTGTGGAGACAGTTCTCTCTGTGGAGTGGACTAGGGTGTGTGGAGACAGTTCTCTCTGTGGAGTGGACTAGGGTGTGTGGGGACAGTTCTCTCTGTGGAGTGGACTACGGTGTGTGGAGACAGTTCTCTCTGTGGAGTGGACTAGGGTGTGTGGGGACAGTTCTCTCTGTGGAGTGGACTAGGGTGTGTGGGGACAGTTCTCTCTGTGGAGTGGACTAGGGTGTGTGGGGACAGTTCTCTCTGTGGAGTGGACTAGGGTGTGTGGGGACAGTTCTCTCTGTGGAGTGGACTAGGGTGTGTGGAGACAGTTCTCTCTGTGGAGTGGACTAGGGTGTGTGGAGACAGTTCTCTCTGTGGAGTGGACTAGGGTGTGTGGAGACAGTTCTCTCTGTGGAGTGGACTAGGGTGTGTGGGGACAGTTCTCTCTGTGGAGTGGACTAGGGTGTGTGGAGACAGTTCTCTCTGTGGAGTGGACTAGGGTGTGTGGAGACAGTTCTCTCTGTGGAGTGGACTAGGGTGTGTGGAGACAGTTCTCTCTGTGGAGTGGACTAGGGTGTGTGGAGACAGTTCTCTCTGTGGAGTGGACTAGGGTGTGTGGGGACAGTTCTCTCTGTGGAGTGGACTAGGGTGTGTGGAGACAGTTCTCTCTGTGGAGTGGACTACGGTGTGTGGAGACAGTTCTCAGGGGTGTGGACTGTGCTGTGCTGCGTACATGAGCTGTCTGTGCTGTGGGCTGCTGATTCATGCAATGGGTCTGTTCCTCAGACATGCCCTTAGACTTCAGCTGTCTGCAGCAGTCAGGCCCAGCTCTCACCTCTGCCCTACTTCTGTCAAAACCTGCCCAGAACTCACTTTATTTTATATCACATTTGGATTATACAAAAGAGAATGTATTTTATTATTGTTATTATTTATTGATTTATTTTTTATGTAAAATTAATTTGATCTCTATTATATTGTTGTTTCCTCATCACAGACATACTGGAGTTGTGTTTTGTTTCATTCACACGTTTAACACACAAATCCTGCACATTTAGGCTGAGCTCTTCTCTCAAACAGAAAGACTCACAAAGGTTCCACTTTGTGATGTCAATGTGGTAATACAGGAAGTGCTCCACTGTGTTTTTAAACTCCACATACCTTCACTTGAATTATCTGGATATTTTCAGTGCTGGGATTTGCTGATCTACTGAACTGAAGGTAAAAGGAGCTGTTAATTTGAAAACTACCACTTCATGACATCAGAAGGTGGAACAGAGGATTTTGAGCAGGAGATGTAGACAAACTAATAAACCTAAAAACTGTGTGAATGAAACAAAACACAACTCTAATAATGTTTTTGAGGAGGTATCATGGCTTAAAGCTCACAAGAATAAATTTGGCATAATATAAGAGCTTTAAATTGTGTGGAACAGAAGGCTATTGCTCTGTATACTTGTTTTAATCAGAGACTGTGATTTTAGTAAATTTAGTAGATTTGGATGCCAAATAAATCTCTTATATCAAGCCCTACATCATGTGTAACTGATATTAGGTTAGAACTGACCATGCAGATTTTTATAATTTCATAAACCCTGCAACAGCAACAGGAGGCTGCTTCCTGTTGGTGTTCACAATAACACATATTCATGCCACATATAGAGACGTACAGGCAAATAATTATGACAAAGCCTATAAAAGCATGAGCACAGTCATTTTGTGTGTTAAAGCCCTTCTTCTAAGAGGACATTAGGCTTAATAACTAACTAGAAGTTAGGTATCCTTCAGATATGATTTAGTTTGTCTAATTTCTATGTTCATCATTTGAAAATATCAGATTCTGTGCATTAATGTTTTACCTTTCAAAGTACATTTATTTTAAGTAATTAGATGTTAAATTATACAGATTACACAGATGTTACATCCCAATAATTAATAAGTTACTCTTATTTGAGAAGTAGTTTTCCCAAATCAATTTAACTATTGTGTAATTTCTTGGACCACTAGTGTGTACCTCTAATATAACCAGATGTCCCTATTTACCTGGGACAGTCCCAGTTTTGAGCCCTATGTCCCGTCCCAGCAGACTTATACAACACCAGTGAGGTGTCCCTATTTTTGAACAATTTGATCCCTACCAACAGTAAAGAGAGACATACATTGTCATTTGTTTCAGTAAAATACAGAAAAGCTGTTTAAAAACGATTCTGTAATTCTGGTAACAGTATTCTAATATTATCTTCTTGTAACGATACTCTTACTTGAGTACAATTTTTAGCTGCTCTACCCACCTCTGTGCCTCGGTTATCCAGGAGGCAAATCTAGGCCTGACTCAAAATCACTTTGTACGCTGTTTCTCACACAATAATCGACATTCTCATAGAAACAGCACGTTTTTAGACCGTGTGGTAATATTGATCTGGAGACTCGCGCTTGTAAACATGACAGTAGGCGGTACTTAGTGGATGACGTATCGCACCATCAGCCAATCGAAATCTCCGTATGCAAATGAAAGAAGCTTCTCGGAAGTGGATCGCAGAGACATATCAGGCAGCGGCTAACTGCGGCTAGCCGTGTGTGCTAGAAGAGACAGGGAGCGACACAGGGACGCAGGGACAGGCCAGGCTGCTCAGCTCAGGGCTCCGTGCATCACCTAGTCATGGAGTAGCCACACAGACACGTTTCTCACATTTACTCGAGCAATTTCCACACCGCATCCCCGTATGAGAGACTGTTACTGCCGTTACGAACGAGGGCTGAGTGCGTCTGGAGCGAGCAAGGTGGGGAACGCCAACATGTCTGGATTTTCTGTTTGTCATGGCCATTTTATTAATTTAATTTTATATATGTTTATTTATTTATACTTTTTGCTTCATCTTATTATTTGTATTTATTTATTTTATTATATGCCTTATTAAATGTCTCAAAAATAGGAAGCGAGCTGATCTGAGCAGAAAAAATGGCTCGGATGAAACGGTTCCTGTCATGCTATTATTGGGTTTACTGAACATCAGGACAACATGTGTCATCTAACATATCTATCTTTATGTTTTCTCTCGTTTGATTGAGTGACATCCATCCTGTGTCTGTGTGTGTAGGCCACGGTGTAGGCTCCCGTCTGTCTGTCCTCAAACGCCTTCTCCGCCTTCGCTGTCAGTCCGTCAGTCGTGACAAAGACACAGACAGCATTATCATTATCTCCAGTCTACAGCCAGGTTCAGTGATTACAGTCAGCCCTCTCCCTGGCCTTAAAATTGAGCTGCTTCCCGACCTCGATGAGTCCAAACCGCTTTATTTAGTAGCACACGAATCTACAGGACTACAGAAGGGAGACTGTCTCTTTGTCAATGATTATTAGCCACCTAACGGACCATGTCGTGTAAATGTTGCCTTTATATAAATAGCAGTTAAAAAGGGAACCAAGTACATTTCTGCTTTTGTTTAGGTCTGACCATATCACTGTGACCTCGGATTTGTCACCAGTTCTCATAGGAAGCTCCATTCGAAGATCATGTAAGTACATTTCAAATCTATAAATCATTATTTAGTAGAGCTGAGTGTAGGCTTCGTTTTATACAGTGTTGGGAAGAAAACTATTTAGTTACAGAATACTGAATACCTGGATTAAAATGTATTTTGTAATGCATTATAATACGTTAGCCAGTTACAGTACTGTATTTAATACCTCGAATATTTTACATTTAAAAACACAGCACATTACAAACAGATTTACGTTTGTGTGTTTCTATCACACATGCACACATCACTAACAATGTGCAGTTTGAAGCCCAAATTGTGTGATTAAGTATTGCAGTGTATTTCTTTGTTATTAGGAAAGTAACTTTATTCTAAAACGCACCAAATCTTATCTTGAAAACTTATCTGTACTGGAATACAGTTAATACAGCCAACACCATATCTATTTTTGACAATTTATTCCAAAACTGTTGGGTGCCACAGCCAAATTGGTTCTATATGTTATTTGTCCAGCCATAGACTTGAGTTTACAGTAAAGGAGGTTGCCACACACCCTCAGACTGGAGAAATGTAGGAGTAGTGACATTGTGCTTTGTGTTATCTGTTTAGTCCTGGTACTCAGTTTGGTGCTGTTGTAGTCCTGGTTTAGTATTAGTCTGGTCCAGGTTTGGGTCCAGGTTTATTCCCAGTGTAGGCCTATTTTGATCTGGACTATGACTCAAGCCAAGCAGTCATAATTCATAACTTTCTGGTAAACCATAGTCACATGTGTTTTTTGTTATATCAAATGGTTATTCATTTATAATTTTTACCAAAACTTGGACTCAGTGTTAGTATTCTTTATTTAGACTACAGAATGTGATTTTCTTTTATATTGCCAAGTGGCCTTGTATGTATGTAGGTAGATTCCATAGTGGTCCATGTGTGTATACTAGTCTATGTGCTACTTGTTCTGATACAGCTCCACATCATTCTAAAACTCTTCAGGAAAGGTTAATTTCTGTCCTGTGAATGGGACTTTTTTTTTAGTATCGATTCTTTACCTGCTCAAAATTAAAATCTAGTTTCAATACTTTTGACAACCTGAGTTTCTATAAAGTGTTTTTCTATTCAGTACCAGAGCAGCAGAAGACAAGCCCAGCTTTTGTTTAGAAATTAGGGCTGAATTCCATACATGTTGAGTAATGCATAACATGGGACCTTTAGGTTGCACTTGTGTAATGCACTGATGGGCGTATGTGTAAGTACAATAAAGAGGAACTGGGATGGACAGCCTAGAATGTACTAGATTATCTCAGTAAGGTTATCTTTATCCTGTGTACTGAGGAGGATTACACTTTAATTAATACCATTAACTTAAACTGTAATGAAATTGAAACATGTTTTGTAGTTAATTAAGTGACTGTGTACGCCAGCCACTGGAGCATTCATGCCCAGTATTCTGAGATTTAAAGTTTTTTTTCTGTAGTTTTGACTGATGCTTGGTTAGAGATGATCTTGCCATTTTAACACAAATTTGAAAGATTTTCCCCCAAATCATATTGACTGATTGATGGCATCGGGTAATGATCACATTTTAAATTCTCTGGCAAATACGGGGAATAGATAGTCTTTTTATATAATGTTTTAAATGGAGGTTCAGATTACAATGCACATTCTAAAAGTATCAGGGAGCATTAATAGTTCTTATCAGAGCATGTTTGAAGAGAACTAATAACTTGGATGTCAACATATTTTCATATAACTTATGACATCATTTTACTTACTAAGTTTGGATCTGGTATTGTGTTTTAGGGGTGTCAAAAACACATATCCAGAAATGAATAAAATTAGTATCAATACTAGATTTTAATCAATACTTATGATACGTTCACACACTTTGCACAAATGGCACATAAAAACTGGGTCTAAACTTGGAACTAAACCAGGACACAACCCGAACTACCTAACCTTACCATAAAAAAAAAAAAGTTCAGAATTTCCCATAATTTTCAGGGCCTATATTCTTTCAAATTGACTTTTGTTGTTATGTTTTAGTTTTAAGTGTTTACCTTCTCAAAAATATTTGGAGTTGTGTTTTGTTTCATTCACACATGTTCTGTATAATCCTGCGCTATTAGTCAGTCTATGTTCCCAAAGCACAGAATGCTTTGTGCCACCTTGTGATGTCATGAAGTGGTAGCTTCAAGTTAACAGCTAGTTACCTTTTAACTTTTGTTTAGTAGAGATTGGCAACTCTACAACTCAACAAGAGCTGAAATCATCCAAATGTTTCTAGAGAAGTAGTTTAAAAGAGAAGAGTTTAAAAACACAGTGGAGCACTTCCTGTATAACCATATGACATCACAAGGTGGAAGACTAAATATTCAGGGTTTGTGTGTTAACATGTGTGAATGAAAGAAAACACAGCTCCAGGTCTGTTTGTGATCAGAATACTACTCTTCTAGTCAGCCCTTTTTAAAGAACCTACTATTGTGTGTTTAAAAAAATATTATTCTATAGGTCACTGTAATGGTGATTTATTTTATTTATTTTTTTTTCTTTTTATAAAAATTAATTGTTGTTGTTAATTGTTTACAGCATGAGTTCCCACGAGTCCAGCATGAACACCCTTTCCCCGGAGATGCCCGCCATGTTCGACGGCATGAAGCTGGCAGCGGTTGCCACGGTGCTGTACGTGATGGTGCGCTGCCTCAACTTGAAGAGCCCCACCGCACCACCAGACCTTACCTTCCAGGACACGCCCCTCAATCGCTTCCTCCTCAAGTCCTGCCCCCAGCTCACCAAAGAGTGAGTGCCACTTTTGCTATTGTAGGTGTTGCCATGGTGATTTCAGTGCCATCTGGAGTTCTGGTGAAGGTAGTGCTTTGCTGCCAGTGCTGGGTTGGGATGTCACTGCACATTCTGTTGCATGTAGGGTTTTTATTTAAGTTTATTTCAATCAAAGGTTCCACAGTAGGACAATTGGCAAACTGTGTTCTTTAATATAAACACTAGTAACTGAAGAAATACAGGAAGGATAGCATGAAGTGCATGACAGGTTTTTATTTATTTCTAGTTATGTCTTGGTTTATTGGGGTAGTACCTGTGGTCAATATGTATCATAGTTTTAGATCAGTTAAATGGCAATTTGTTGAGAAGAAAGTACAAAAATACAGGAAATGGTGGTGAGTTGTAAAACAGAATTCCTCTGGCTAAAAAGGCAAAGGGACACGTCATGTACAAAGAAGCCATTTTTCTGACAGTTTAACCCTTTAACTTAAGAAAAGTGTTGGCATTTATTTCTATTAGTCTAATCATATAACTATTGTGTAATTTAGATGGGTTTTGGCCCTTGTTAACATTATGGTTTCTAGGTAATGGTTATGGAGTGACATCTACATGACCAGGAAGTAAATTATAAACTTTTAGTAAAAGCTTAAATGTAATGATATTAACTATGTTGAAAAAAATAGTCTAACCTGTCAGTCATATGCACTTTAAGTTGTCATAGTGTGGAAGAATTGTGTCGGTGGCAGTAAGGCAGGTCATTTGAATCTTGCACTAAAGACAAAGCCAACATGTGGCTTTTTCTTTTGATTTCTTTTAATTAAATTAAACATGAATTTATTAAGTTTATAAAATGTAATCTTTTTGTAAAGTTATCAAGACACTGTATTCTGAAAAAACAACCTGTGCTTTTAGGTTTAGCGTTCATTAGTAGCACAAGGGAGTATTTTCTGGTCTCTTGCCATGTGTGCACGTTAAAAATAGACAGTTTAACCACAGGCTGAACTGTGAACTGCTAAATGAAAACAAGAATGTCATGCATTTCAGAACATGTTTGTAGACATCTGAACTACAGGGGAACAGATTTGACAGAAATCATTACTTTACTGCACTTTTTTAGGTTATAGAAAACATTGTGATTTGTTATTTATTACATTAAAATACAGATTGAGATAAATTTTCCAGCCTTTTGAGGCAATATCAAGAAAACAATACTGGTAGATAGAGACACGCACATCCAATAAAAATTGCGACTGCGTGCTGGGCCTATAGACAAAAGCTGGAAGAAAGAGATCCACACTGCAGTTCTTTGAAGCTCTCAAATTTTTATTACAATGACACCGTAATGTGACGTTTCAGGTCAAGCTCTTCTTCAGACTCATATCAAGGAAAACAAAATCATTTTCAGACAAGTATTGTCACGATACTAAAATTTCAAGCTCTGTTTCGTTGCACAGTACTTATTCCGATCCCACAATGTTAAAGAAAATCTTGGATAACAGAATGTGATTTTCATGTGGCTTTATATCTGTGTAATCCTTCAGATTCCGTAGTAGTCCTTGGGCATATACTATGTGCTTTTATACTTATACTTTTTCTAATACGGGAAAAGTTCATTTGAGTCCTGTGAATGTGACTCCTGCTCAGATGTGTATCTACAGTACTTTCAATACTAGTTTTAGTATTGATTTTTTCCTTATTTTTGATACTTTTGACAATCCTATTTCACACCATTACATTGTGTTGGTTCAAAACAAGCCACGCAAGACAAACAACAGCATTTTTCCTGGAATCCTTAGATGACTCTGAACGGTGTGGAGAAACCATTTCAGCCCCTTTCCCCTCGTCCTCCTCTTCCTCCTCCTCTCCTCCTCCTCCTCTTCCTCTCTGATTAGATACAGATAGGGCAGAATTGCGTGCATGCTGGTGTTTGTTGTCAGGGATGAAGAAGCCAGCGGATGTTGTTGTGTTCCTCCATGTTGGTGTCGCATGCTTTGGTGACTCTAGTATTGGTGAGAAGTCACATGACCACATGGCACCCGGACGACAAGTTGCATAATAAGAGATCAATTTGCACAGAGCACACTGTTGCACTTTGTCTCATTTGTCCTGTCCTCACATGTATTTTATTGAGTTTTAACATCGGTTTGAAATGGGAAACTCTAATTTGATGTTTTTAGATGGGCTGCCAAAAAATAAGATGCTAATCAATGCCAAAACTAGTATCAAAATTAGATACTCATTTGAGCTGGTATCAAATACTAAAAAAGTCACATTCACAGAACAGAAAGGAAACTTTTCTGAGTAGATTTAGAATGATCTTGAGCTGTATCAACACAAGTATAAGAGCACATAGACTAGTATACACCCATGGACCACTATGGAACTGCTTGGACCACTGAGGACTACACACATAAAAGAAAGTGCTATTTAATGTTGAAAATCACATTCTATTGTCTAAAGAAGTGTTTTATTATAATTTGAGTATCAGAATCACTTTTCTGTACCAACTTTGTTCCTTCATATCAAAATAGAGAGAGAAATGTTTGCATCGTGACAACTCCACTTTAGACTAAAAGGTGCAGTTCAGGTATAAAAAGTCATCCAGTACTCTTTTGTCTTTTGCATATGAATGACATAACAGGAGGATGTAGAAAGAGGAAGCGTGTTTTGCACCAGCGTCAACAGAGCAAAGTACAGTGTGATGTTTTCTGGAGATAAGCTTGGTCTTTGCGTGTATTATATGTGTTTGTTGACCATAATCTGGACTTTGGCTTTGTAAAATAACCCATGTGGATGTGTCATTAGCCAATAGTATCATCATTACGAAAAAGTCAAATAGTAAAAGATTGTTAAAATATGTCAACTGAAAATGTGTGTATATATATATTATACTAGAGCCCGACCGATATATCGGTTGGCTGATATTATCGCCCGATACGAGCACCTGGAGGCATGTCGGCCATCGACCGATAGGCTTGCTGATAGGGGCCGATATTTCACGTGGGCATGCGATGCATCCTTAAAAATCTTAGACTCTCTACATTATGTTCATTTAATCCAATTTACAGACGGTTAAATGTCCTAATATGTGGCAGTATTTATCTATGGAGTCATTTGTCTGTGTGGTGTGTGTCCGTACTGTCCCTGAACACACCACAGAGTCGCGTCACTCACTCATGTGTTTGTTTACAGACATAGATCCAAACACTGAGATTATTTTCTTTTTACGGACAATCGGTTTGAGTCTGGATTAAAAGGACATTTATTAGTGCAGACTTGTGATGTGAGGAGGAGCCTGTGTGAGCGCTGAGTGTTGGAAATATGTCGACTTTGAAGCTAGTTTTGGTAATTTGTTATGGATTAGCTGCTGTAGCTCTCGCACATAAACAGGCTGTTTTCTATTGGTCTATTGTAAATTGACTACATTGGCCGTATATTTGTTACTGGACCTGCATTGATATGTAAATGAGCTGTGAATAAACGTGTGAATTATGACATTTGCGCATATAATTAATTACCGCGGCGCGCACGTATTTACGGCTAAAGGCTAATAGCGATTGTTTATTTACTAGTTATGGGTCGGTCGCGAACGAAGCGGCTCTTTGAAGCGAACGACGGGAGCCTGCTCCTTATTGGGAGCCGTGTTTTCTCTTTCTCTCACTTTTTTTCTCTTCACGTCGCGTGCAGACTCGTGGGAGTTTGACAGCGGCAGCGGCTCAAAACGAAACTTTGAGAAATTTCCGTGTACATAGGATAAAAAAAACAAAAAACGATCATATTTGGCTGTAGTTTAGCATAAAATAAACAGTGGTGGGAAGGTTACTTTTAAAATGTCTCAGTCCTGATTCAGTCCTGCTTTAGACGTGCTTTAGATGTGCTTTAGACCTGCTTGCAACAAAACAATCTGAAGAGCCTCTTGGAGCCAAAAGAACCAGCAGCTTTTAGTGAGCCGTGCCAAAAGAGCCAGTTCTCTAAAAAGAACTGGAATACCCATCACTAGTAGCTAGAATGTGATGGAAAAATGCCATTAAGCCAACCTACTCTCTGTAAATATAATGTAAAGAGGCAGAATAACAATAAATGTTGCCTAAATAAACCCATTTTAAAATCCACCAGAGCCAAACCTAAGTTTTTTAAACAATTCAAGATTTACAGTGAATTTTTACATCACTAAATATATCGGCGATTATATCGGCTATCGGCAGATCCAACTCCCATTATATCGGTTTCATATCGGCCACAGCAAAATCCATATCGGTCGGGCTCTATATTATACTTTGATACTCGTCCAAGTAGCTTCTTCAGATTAAAAAAAATTGATAAGATAGGAACCAAGTATTCTTAAAATACAAGAAATAATAAATAACCTGGTATAGAGTTTATTTTTAAAGGGCCTATATTGCACTATTTTCTGATCTAGTAGTTGTAGTTTCCTTATCACAAACATCCCTGGAGTCATGTTTTGTTTAATTCACACATGTTTAACACACAGACCCTGCAGATTTAGAAGTTCATCCCTACACAAATACACAATCTAAAATTAAATTGATTTGATTGCAAAACATGATCTTGTGATAAATGAGTTGCCTTAAATGTTCTCATAGAAATGCTGACAGTTCCAGATGAGTCTTCTTTAACTGGGTGGTCTATCACCAGTGTTGGGAAGGTTACTTTTAAAATGTATTCCCCTACAGATTACAGATTACATACCTCAAAATGTAGTTTGTAACGGAATCTATTAAATTACTTAAAGTGAGTAACATAATCTAAATACTTTGGATTATTTGATTTGCTGTAGAGAAGCAAAGACGAGGAAATCTTCACATAAGATGTTTTGTTTGCTAAAAGAAAATGAAAAGCCCAGACTTTACTTAACCGTATTAAAAATATTATTGACAGAAGAGGAGGAGACATGTCCGTGCAGCATGGTTTAGTCCTGTTAAATCCTGTTTTAGTCCTGATTTAGACCTGGTTTAGACCTGGTTTAGTCCTGTTAAATCCTGTTTTAGTCCTGGTTTAGTCCTGGTTTAGTCCTGGTTTAGTCCTGGTTTAGACCTGGTTTAGACCTGGTTTTAGACCGGTACAATACAGTTACTCATAATTTGTACTCTGATTACGTAACTCCGGTACATGTAATCTGTTACTGCCCAACACTGTCTATCACATAATAACAGCAGATGACTGTGTCTTAATCGCAGTAGCAAGAGGTTATCTATTCATGGTCAGAGATTAAACGTGCTTCAGACAAAACCCTGCTTAGGCTCCAGTGCACTGAGGCTTGATTACATTATCAGCAAATGGAGGCTCGGACTGACACCTGCCTTACGTAAGAGGTGTTTCCTAAATGTGCGGAAGATCAGGGCAAATCGGGTAACTCAAACCCATATATAGTTTGCACAGTTGTTTTAAAATAATTGTCACCTTTAGAGATTTGGTAGTTGTGGCTTATGAAATTGCGATTTTCATTCCATTGTGATTTGTGAATACAGTGCTTCTTGCTGTCCTAATGTGTGATAATCATTCTACAGACATAAAATAGTTTAGTTAAAAGTAATCATACATTATGAAATTTCTGATATACTAAGGATCAAAACTTTTTAAATATTTAAAATGTTCTATGTTGTAAATGTATACTGTATTCTGCATTAAGCATTTACCAGAGTCTACCAAAATGGCACTCAGCCCTAATATGTGATGCTCGTGTGCCTTGCTCCTCACATGTTTCAGTCACATTGCTTCAAAAGGCAGAATATTTAGTTTGCTATGGCAACCCATCACTCTGAACAACCCATCGGTTGTACAATTATATAATGCTTGAAATTCTCTTCCAAATTGGCCGTTTTTGTATTTGTACTTTTTCACATTACAATAGTGCTGTGATACTGTTGCACATGAAAATGAAGGATGTTGTTTTGATGTTGCTCTGATGATGTAATGTCAGCTCCCCAGGCAACACCAAAGCACCGTCTACACACAGGACACTCACAGCAGCACGCTCACATGACATATGTCCCTGTATTTGTACATGTGTAAATATTTATGAGGCTCTTTGGAAATGGGCCATTTTAGACAAACGTTGTTCTACCTCCTCAGTCTGTGTCACTGCAAACGAACAGAGTCAAAGGTAACCGAGTGCTAATGTATTGAATCACTGACTCTCTAGATTAAACTGTTGAAAACCCAGTGGCCAACACTGTTCAGCATGTGGACACTCTCTGAACGTTAGACTATGGTAATAAAAGGCTCGTTGTGTTATTGTAATAAAATACTTGGAATATGAACGTGAAGTTGAGTATTTCAAGCATTACGTAATAATACAGTCCATGGCTTTAGAGTGATGGACTATCATAGCAAACAAAATATTCTACTCGGCTCCAAATTCATCCCTATAACTAGCTTTGATGTTCTTTGTTTGGTTGGAGCCAAACTCTATGATCCTAGGAGGCCATGGTCAACACAAACTTTCAGGTATTTGATTTTCAACCAAAAGGTGAGAGTGCTAACTGCTTAACTGAGAGACTTGTTTAACAACACAACACATCAGCTTGCCTGTTGTCACTTCTTTATGGCCAGATTATGTTAAAATAAAACTCAAAAAGTCTAAGTCTAGTGAGCAACAAAGCTTCAGACAGGGCAGTGCCTCTACTTAGCATCACACCCCCAGGGAAAGCGGCAGTGTATGAGTTGCGAAGAGTCCTTTATTCACCCGTCTTCCAGTTACTGATGCTGCCCCCCTGTGCCCCCCAGGTACATCCCCCCTCTGCTGTGGGGCAAGAGTGGGCATTTGCAGACTGCGCTGTACGGGAAGCTGGGCCGGGTCAGCTCTCCTCACCCGTGTGGAGTCAGGAAGTACCTCCCCATGCAGGACGGAGCCACCGCCACCTTTGACCTGTTCGAGCCCCTTGGAGATCACCAGACAGGAGGTAAGGCTCTAGCAGTCACCCCACTCTCATGTGAAGAGGTTGGGGGGCGTCTTCTGCTGCTATGTTAACTACATGTCACAGGTAGGTATTACTGTCCATGTCCTCGGTTACTTTTTACCTGACTAATTGAACTAAGACTAGTTCAACCCAGTGGCAGTTTGCGGTAGAAGAGCCTTTATAACGGCCGCAATTATAAGTTTGGTGCTTAGACCCCAGCAGGGACTGATGACACTGGTGATGAAAATTAAATCTGAATAAATAAATAATAGTAAGAAGAAAATAATCGTATTAAACTTTTAAAGCTCTTACTGGGGTGGGGAAGGGCTGACCATTAAGTAATTGTTTCTTAGTGCGTTGGTATATTTTCTATTCATATATCACAAGTTCCAATAAAAAAAAAAATTAGTTAGTTGATTCATAATGCATATCATTTTGATCATTACTTTCTGTATTCTACTTGCTTCATATGATTTTGAACTACTCTACTTACCTGGTGTGATCATACTGTTGCCTTGCTACTGTCCGATAGCCCTGTGCTCTTATCATGCCTCACCTGAACTTTAAATCCTCCTCGTGATCTAGTCCAGACGACCTCAGAAGTCATCAGAAGCTTAGCCTTTGAAGACCTCCACTGGCCTAAATGTGGTGCTCTTTTTATTCTACAACTTCACTGTGAATACACAAGTGGCTGAGAAGGGCAAAAAATCTTATTTTTGGTACCATTAGTACCATTAGATTAAAAGAACCATGAAACAGGAACTTCTTGTTGTCAGAGAAACAACAGGGCCTGTGTCTGAACCTCTTGATGAACTAAAGACAAATCAGGGATCATAAAACTGCTTCCTACTAGAGGACGACCAGACTTCACTAACACGGATATGATTTTATGTAAAAACTCTGCTTATGTCTTTAATATGATATCATCATTTAGTAATTCTCAGTTACTAGTACCTGCTTTTGGTACGAATATACCTGAATCCTGTCAGCACTAGTGGTTTCAGAAATATAATGACGGCCATAAAATGACTCCCTATAATAATGTCTAGACACTGGTGAATCTACTACCTTTTGAATACTGAGATACACCAGCTTCATTTGTGAAACATGTGAAGTCTGTCATGAAATGACTTCTCAGCCACAGTCAGTCTAGTCTTGTGTTTCTGTGCCTTGTTATTATAATTATATAAGCATTATAGTTTTCTCTTTGTGTTAACTCTGCTGCAGAGATGTGACTTCCCTTTTGCTTTGTGTACCCAGAGGACATCACCATGGTGATATGCCCTGGTATAGGAAACCACAGTGAGAAGCATTACATCCGCACCTTTGTGGATCACTCCCAGAAAGAGGGCTACCGCTGTGCAGTGCTCAACCACCTAGGAGCGCTGCCCAACATCGAGCTCACATCTCCACGCATGTTTACCTACGGTAAGAACGGGTGGTCACAACATGAGCTACGCTGACATTTTAACTCCCCCTGGTCACACCCATCTATGTAGTAGAGCTCTATAAATACACAGCCACTTGCCTCCAACAGAACAGAATGCTAATTACTATTCACTTGAGAGAGGAGGTGGGATCACTAAGTTTACAGCATGTAGGCAGACTACACTTAACGACTGTGGAGGACTGCTTCAACTATTCTTAGGTCAAAAAGCCCAGGTTCCATTTGCAGAATTTTTTTTTACAGGATGTAGATACTTTATATTTATCTTCTATTCAAATTCAGACATCAGCTTCCTGTTTATAGGTGAGTGTTTGAAGACTCTTCACAATTCAAAAGATGTAGTATTTTGCTTTGAATTGTTATGGCAACAGTACTAATTTCACCACTCTGAAACCTGTGAAGGATAAACATAGCCAGGACAGTCATAGTTGACATTTAAGGTGGAGACCTTAAAAGTCAAAATGTCAAAATGTGGTTTGTGTCTAGTCTGTACATAATGCCGTTTTATCCTCAAACAAAACCTGTGCAAAGATGTCCGTCACATCACGAGCCACAAGACTAAGTGAGTTTGTGGACCCATCATTGGCAAAAAAGAATACAGATTTTGTGTCTTTGTTATATTAATCAGTCAGTATCATTTTATTTGTCCCCGAGGGGCACTTTAAGCACATTGAGCAGTAAAATACAATAATAATAGAAAAGTTCAAACAAAAGTCTTAGTGCAGCTCAACAGGTAGAGTCATCCGGTCAGGCCAGTATGAAGAGAGTAACAGCCCTTAGGTCAAAAGTGCCATCTGTGTCCTGAACCCTGGGCATCACAGCAGCCTCCAGAGGGAGTCAGGTGAGCTCTGGACACAAAACGGGAAAGCCTCTTCTAAACCTCTCTCTGTTCTGTGGTTTCAGTCAGTGATGATATTTCCTCTGAAATGTCTTCTGCTTTATTTGACGTTGAACGTCTGTTGCATTGGTGTAAAAAAGGCAAAAAAGAACTATTTGGTTAGCATAGCTCGTTCCATGCAGGGTCACCATAGATACAGGAAAAACTAATTGCTCAAATCACATAGTCCAATACCCATTAACTTCCATCCTTTTTACTGCATGTACTGCACTTTTTAGTTGGTCAAAATCCAAAATTGTTACTTTAAAAGTTTAACATAAAAATGTAAAGTTTAAAAGCTGCTATATTACATCTTGTATATTGGTCCATGAATTGATCTCATTCTAACAAAGCTGGTTGTATCTTTAGCTCATATTTCTCATTTCAGATGATTTCAAAGTGTTAAATTCCATGAGGAGATCACATTAACATAGTCCTCTAGAGGTCAGCTCTCATAGTCCCTAACAGAAGGCACCTTCATGTAAGAACTGGGAGTGCTGAGTAGAGCAGACACTGTGTTCTGCTGGGTTTCATATCACATTACATTCTATAGACCAATCATATGTAATATGATGGTTTTTTAGTTCCAAGTTATTTTTGGAGAGCTTAGTCATAAACCAGGACAAACATTTGCATTTTGACAGTTAAAAGGCAAATTCAAAAACTTTGCGTTTTTTATTTTTTTATTTAACAAAATCAATCCTGCCAGAATGTCCAAGATAGGTGTCTATACCTACTCAGTCACGTTGCCTCCCCCTCAAAGTGTTTCCTATAACTGCGTTTTCCTAACATTTTTCTGGGGACCCAGATTTTAAAAGTCACAAAGCTTCGCAACACAAGTCCATAGACATTATTAATAAATCACAAAATAAAGATGGATTTGACCATTATTGAACATTAATGAGGATATTTTATTGTTGGCTGACTGATCGTGTCTCTCTAAATAATCAGTATTACTCATGTTTTAAACAATGAAAAAGTCATTGGACATTAAATGTAGCCCATTTCTTTTTATTTTCAACATTCAGTTGAACCAGCAATATTGGAACAAAATAGTCACTCGTTCTCTCATGTGGCAAAACTGTATACTGCAGACCTACATGCAGATTGTATTCAAAAAGACTCAAAAAGGGTCAAAACATTTCTAAAGTTATGATTAGACTAATAATAATTTAAAAAAAGAAAAACATCATTTATTTAGTTAAATGAAAGTTTAAACTGCCTGAAAAATACCTTCCTTGTTTGTAAACTGTCTCTGCATTTTGTAAGCAGTTTTCTTTGGTGATGATGTAGGTGAAAGATTCCGTTTTAGAACTCAATGCTATTTCCTCTATTTGTGTACTTTTTCCACAAGCTACCACTTAACCGATGTAAAACAAAGGCACTATCCCTCCAAACCAAGTCATCATTAGAAAAGCATGGAAACCTGCAACTTTAAACTGTGTGGTTTCATAGACCTGTCATAGTGAACAATACCTACATGCCATTATAGATACTTTATAGTCACATCACGTGTTCTACATGTAAGCCTCTGGTTTTAAGACCATCTAAAAAGACTAAATCCATTTTAGAATTCATTCTTAACTTGAGTCGTAGAGCTTCAGACAGAACAGTGCCTACAGTTAGCTTCACACTTTCAGGAAATGCAAAGTATCACTGGATTTCCATTAAAGCTATCAGTAGAATCACTGTCATCATTGTCGCATGTATTGAGCTGTGTCCTGTCCTTTTCCCAGGGTGCACGTGGGAGTTCTCTGCTATGGTGGGCTACATAAAGCGGGCCTACCCTCACACCAAGCTCATTGTGGTGGGCTTCAGTCTGGGTGGGAACATTGTGTGCAAGTTTCTGGGAGAGAGCAGGACCAATCAGGAGCGAGTGCTGTGCTGTGTCAGTGTGTGCCAAGGCTACAGTGCCCTCAGGTATGCCCCACTCTCACTGCACGTCCACATGTGTTGCTGCTCTAGAGAGCCTCTAAGAGTCTGGAAATAAATATAAATTCCATATTCGAGTCAACTGGATGCAATAGGGGCATTGAATATACTCTAGTTGAACACTCCCCAAAGTGGAAAAAGGAAGGCAAACAAGAGTCCAGTGTGACATGAGTGGTGACTATGAAGGCTCCAGGATGCTGCATCTGTAGACTTGCCACAGTGGTGTGGATGACATCACACTACCTCTGTATGCACATGTGGAGGGATGTAAACAACATCCGCGATGGCATGTGAAAATCTTATGTGCATGTAGTAAGAGCACAGGTTTACTGCCATCAGGTCAATGTCTTTACTGCGGGAAGTTATGTTCACAGTGACTTGTCCAGGACTGCACTATCTGTTGTTTACAAAAAGTACAAGTCCTCCACCTTTGTGCTTCCCAGTCAGAGTCCTTTGTGTCTCTGTATCTGGTGCCTGAAAACCAACATCCTTCATATCATACTGCTAAGTGAACTTGATCCAAAATGCATGAAGGAGAAACAAATAAACACATCCTGCAGAACCTTTCCGTAGCTAGGGCAGGGTCTCTGCTTTCTCCTGAGAGCCCCATGTGCGGGGGTGCAACTGATTTTCCATTGTTCTGTCTGTATCAAACGTTTCTTTTTATAAAGTCAAAGGACTGGCTTGTTATACATTTGAAAAGCTTCCAGAAACAACATACAGAACTTCAAATCAAACTGAAATAACTTGGGGAGGGGGGAAATACCTTTTACTTCTCAATTAATCAAAATGCTTGATTTAAATGCTCTGAAATGATTGTATGATTTATTTTATATTTAATCAGTAAAGTCTCTGCATTTTTACAGACCTGACTTTTCTTATAGAACTTAAAATGAAAATATTCTGCAAGTTGTATTTTTGTCATTTTATTGTCACTTTTTTTGGAGACACTTGTGGATCTGTAGACCTTTGGGTTATACCGTGCTCACCAGTCACTCCTTGTGCTCCTTTAGGGCTCAGGAAACTTTCCTGCAGTGGGACCATTTCAGACGCTTCTACAACTTCCTCATGGCTGACAACATGAAGAAGATCATTCTGTCACACAGGTATGGGCCAAGTCTGAGAAACTATCGGACAGTGTGTTTTTCATATTGTGTGAATGCCATCTGCTTGTCTCCAGTGAGATGTTTTGCTTTGCCCAGTATCTTCTGTAGTAGGTAGTGATGGCCGAATGGAGCCTCGTGAAGCATTGACACCTCAGTCACAATATTGTCTCAAATGGACAAATTTAACCATTAGCACGCAGGTGTCTCAGCATCGATGAAGTATTGTTAATGCAGAACATACACCGTAGACAACGACAACAACGACAACGACGATGATTTTAAATAATATGTAAAGAGCAACGTAAATAGCAGCTGTAAATAAGAAAAGAGGTTACCTTGTTAGGTGGAATTAGATCAAAGTGATCCCAAACCATGGATCGCTTTTTTCCACTTGTAGATGCCATCACTAACGTCACACAATACTCCTCACTACCCAACATTTTTAAGAAATATTGGTGCATCTTTTATATTGTAGCAGTTTAGCGCTTGTCAAACCACAGAAGTGCGCTGAACACTCTGAAGCACTCTGAACCAATCGCAGAGCGGAACATTCGCTGAGCCAATGAAATGCTTCGATACACTGAAGCGACTGACACGCAGAGCGAAGCAGTAGGGGGAGGGGCTGACACTTCGACACTTTGGTCACGTGAGCGGCGGCTGCGAGACGAGCTCCGAGGCAGTGCTTCAGAGCAATTTGTTTCAGAATGAACGAGACGTGCTCCGGAGCTCCGACTCATTTACCCAGCACTAGTAATGTGAGCAGAGACGCCAAACATTGTAAGACTGATTCAAAAAGACTCCAGTATTATAATATACTTCCAGTGTTGTTAGACAGTACAGTAACAGTTTTTCTTCCAAAGACTGTTGGGGATTATATCTGTGGCACTGATGTCAGCTACTGATATTTCAGAGTGTACACACTTGAATTGCGTTGTTGTGTGTTCCAGGCACAGTCTGTTCGGAGGTGCCTCACTCAAGCCCATAGAAGCAGACCTGAGCCGTCTGTACACAGCCACCTCCCTCATGCAGATCGATGACAACATCATGAGGTATGCTATCATACTGCATACTGCATAGGACCACCACAGTACTCATACTGTAGTTACAGCATGAGCACAGTACTCACACACACACTTAGGCTTGTACAATATACCCATATTGATGACAGCATCATGAGGTATGTGCTATATGAGGGGTTTCCAAACTTCTCAGACCGCGACCCCCAAAAGTGACCACACACATGTGCACATGCACACATGCACTCCCTCTCAGGTACACATACAACCCTCAGGTTTGAACATAGTCCTACATGTGCCCAAACTAAACATAGTGCATTGTGTATTGGTAAAACTGAAGAGCTGAAGAAACAGTGTGCAGATATTCAGCATGTACCCACTCCAAAACTCGTCAAGTCTCCAGCACAGGGCCTTTGGGCTGTCTCCGAGTCGAATTGTTGTGCATAATAATAAATCCACATCAAATCAGTCTGCAGTGTCCATGTAAATTTGAAGCCAAACAAGGTAATGTGATCCAAACTCAGCCAAAAATCCACCTCACCTCTATATCTATATCTATATCTAGTTTAGACCTCTCCAAACATGTTCTGAAATGTAGTTGGATTGACTCATGTTTGCTTTAATGTTTTTATTTATCTTTTGACCAGGAAGTTCCATGGCCACCGTTCTCTGAAAGAGTACTACGAGAAGGAGAGCTGCGTGCACTTTATCCACAATGTAAGCTCGCTCTGTCCTCTGTCCATGGATATGGATATTGATATGTATATATATTTGGCTGTCCTCTTGTCTTCTGTCTCTCATGTCCCTGTATGACTCTGTTTATGTCCCTGTACATGTCCCTGACTGTCCTGTCCTCTGTCTGTCTCAGGTGAATGTGCCTCTGCTGCTGGTGAACTCTGCAGATGACCCTCTGGTGCACGACTCTCTGCTCAACATCCCCCGCACTCTAGCAGGTAACAGAGCAGGGCATTAGTGCACATGGGGCAGGTTACAGAGCAGGGCATTAGTGCACTACCAGAGCTCTATAGCTCTTTATTTAACACAAAAACACTCCAACACCTGTCTATTTCCCCACCCAATGTTCAGCCTCTGTCATGCTCTGAGTGGCAAGTGGATTTAACCAATCACAGAGCAGTGTGACCTCTCAGATAGGGCTGTTAGAATAATTACCTGTATATCACTATTCATGGGTACATTTTCTTTGTAATAATGGAGGGATTGTAATTTTGTAATACAATAAGATTTGAACTGAACTGAACCTCTATGAATTATCGATCCTGCTTTAGGGTTGTCATGTTAGTGGCCTGAAGTCATTTCAATATTATCTGTAGCGATATATTGTACTTCAGAATGTGCAATGATGACAGGCCTACTCTCGTTATGTACTTTTTCTCATTTCTGAAGTGGAAAATGAATTTGGGTTAAAAATACAGTGGTTGCTCTCATCATGAGGAAGTCTGCTACAGGTGGAGCCCATGTAACTGCAGTGTTGTCACACAATAGGCTGTCGCACATGTGTAACTAGGCAACGGTATGTGTGTGTGCAACAGGTAGGAGTGCATGTGCTTTGTCCATAGCATTTCACACCCTCTTTACAAGCTCTATTTTCATGCACATATTGAAGCTGTAGTGGAGTGTCAAGACAGGACAAGGAGCGGCTCTTCTTATGTAAGACACGTGCGCTCATTGATCACAGTTCACCTCACCCAGTCACTCGCCTGTTTTAGGCTGTGTGAGAAATGCATTAATGTAGGTGTGTAAAAAAAACTATTTGTATATAAAACTATTACTGAAAAGGCATCCACAGGACAAAAGTTTGACCTTTTTTAAATAGTTTTAGAATCAGATCTTTGTTAAGTACATTTTAGAAACTTTTCCAGTCAGATATTGAGGTGCGAGAGTATTTGTTGTGAACACAACTGAGCACAGGTTTATGGGCTTAAAACAGCACACAAGTCAGGAGTTTTATCTGTGATGCAACTAAAGGGCTTATATGCGAACAGAACATTGTTTTGTTTTTTTGGGGATTTTTTTTATTATCACCATCTTAGTATTGCCATTTATATTATATATTGATACTTTGCAATGACGTAACACTTAGGGGTTCTACATGTATGCCTGTGGTGGAAGGTTCGGATGTTACCACACTGACAAAAGGCAACTTTAGCAATAAGTACCAAAAAGTTTTAAGATTCTCTGAAAGAAAAGTGGAAAGAAAGAAAAAATACAAAATTGATTTAAACCACACATTTTCATGAGCCTGTGATCAATACCAGCCTCAATCAATACGAGTAATGTTGGTTGGTGTTTCTCTGTGGCTAGGATCCTCAGCTCCTGAACCACTTCAGAGAGTTCTGCATCATCAGAGCCTTACCAAGTGTTCCAATTCCCCCAAAGCCCTCATGCTCTCCACGCTCAATTCCTCCGTCTGACTCTTTTACCCAGAGTGCCCACAGTGCACTGCAGCTCTCACTTTTTATGAACTTTATTTAAGCAGTAAAATGCATTTTAATAAAATAAAAGTCATTCTACAATTTAAAAAAAAAAGGAAATATTTAGCTATTTGAGCCACATTGCTGCTCTATTATCAGATTGAATGAATTCATATCAGGACAACTGCAGCAAAATCTCTTAAAGAAGGGGATTGGAAATAAAATGAGCCTATCATCCGAAAATGTTTCAGCCTGTGTATTTATTTTAGGCTAATTATCAGCAATTCAGTAACAGCTGATTTAGTCATCTTTCATTATTCGCATGTTTTATTGCACGTGGACACATAAAAACACCTGAAGACTTTACATTTGTAGAAGCATTGATGTTTTATCATGTTTGATCTGGTCACATGACACGGTGTAGTTGCTCCCTCCAGAGCCTGTTCCACATGTGCTCCAGGAGCTGTGAGTAGGACACCTGACTCCAGAGGAGAGCTACGAAGGAGTGTTTGGAGGAAGGATTCTGGGAATTAAGAAACACCTGTTATTTGAGAGCGACTTGTTTAACTGCACAAATCAGCTCACCTGATCTAGCTCCAGCAAAAACAGTTCTTACAGAAAGCTCAGATCAAAGTTACTCAAACTTGAGTAACTGAGCTTCAGACTTCAGAGGTCTTCCTTAATCAGTCATACCTGCACATAATGTAGATGACATCAGCTGCAAAGTATCAGTTATATAAGCCTTTTTCTTAGTATCAAAATAGAGTTGGAAATTGTTGATAGAGCCTGTGTTCAGTCTGATAACCCAGTCCTGTGTTTCCTCCAGCCAAGAAGCCCAACGTCATCTTCGCGCTGACGCTCCATGGCGGCCATCTCGGCTTCTTCGAGGGTGCCGTGCTTTTCCCACAGCCGCTCACCTGGATGGACAAGGTCATTGTGGGCTACGCTAACGCTATGAGCCAGTGGGAGAAGCAGAAACCACAGTGCCAAAGCAGCCCACAGAGCCAGGGCGGGGCGTGCCTGGAGCAGAAAGCATAGCGCCCCCACCAGGAGAACCAATCCTGAACAACTGTTCCTCTCTCGGACCTGCCTTCTTCTGGTGCTGCCCTCTCCTGGTCCACTCATGCCTTTACACTTCGCAGTATACAAACTACGACTAAAGCCAGTTTGAACAAGTCCGTCAGTGGAGATTTTCATATGCTGAGAGGTGGACTTGAATAATTAAGAGCACAAGATCTTCCAGGAAGTGAAGAAAGTGCTACCTACGCCAAGGCCCTATCTTCTGGTTGTCGTCTGCTGTCTTCTAAGCGGCCAAAAATGAATATCTTTTGGTTAAAATGATGAATTTTACATATGAATCTTGAGTTCAGTAGGATTGACTAGTTGCAGACCTAGATTAGTTTTCAGGTATTTCTGATTTGACTTTTTTTAATACATTTCAAGATACATTATTTGCCAGTGAAGTCAGAACATTGTTCCAGATTTATTAAACCTTTTTCAAGGCAATCTGGAATATCCCAAAACAAGTTAAAGGCACTGTACCTGATTTTTACTGTCTTTAAAATGTGAAAACTGGACTTATTCATTTTGAATGGTTTGCAGTGGTCCAAAGTTCCTCACTTACCTAATGCATTGTGAGCATCCTAATTATTCACTGACATGAGCTTTATTAAAACTTTTCACAACTCTCATAGATCAGAGTTTAGCCTTGATGGCAAAGCTAACTACTAGCATACTAAAGTGCACTTCCTGACAACTGTACAATAAAACTCTGGATAATTAGACACACAAACAGTGCACAGGCGACTTATATTAACCTCAAGAGCTGCTTATACAAAATACTGCCTTTTAGTTGTACATCATGCACACAATTAAATATAATCTACAATATATAATCTATAATCTACTCAAACTACTGAAATCCAGATTCATATTTTGAGTTCAAATCATTTAAATCAAAATTAGATATTGACTTTTTGCTGTGTCTTCTGTGTAAAAGTGTGACTTAGTGTAGCTGTGTGTTCTGGCCTTGTGTTGTTTGGGTTCCTCAGTGCAGTCTGTGCTTTTGACTGTAATACATGTGCAGTAGTGCTGTAGTGCTTTTCCACGTACTGTAGGTCTGTTGCGTAACGACTGGCCGTACTTGAAATGGTGTGAACCTCTGGCCGGGGCTGGGCCTGACCACATTCCCATGGGCTGTGTCAGAGCACTTTCCACCTGTCTGTGGCAGCAGTGCAGATAAATTATCAGTGGTTTGTACGAGGAGAAGAGGAGAGGTTATGCAAATGCATCGCACCATTTGGAGTCTTGGCTGTGAGTGGCTTTGGTGACTAATGGTATTTTCTCGTGTATGAGCTCAAAACACGTGACTACAACGTGACAGAGCTGTTATAGACTGAAAACTCTGCTTAATCTTTAGTTTCTACCTGGCATCTAAAAAAAAGTACTGATTAACAGATTGGGATCAGATACAGTTGACCTGCACCTTTCTCTCCTTGATGTTTCCAAGCCCATGAGTTGTGGAAATTTTAGTGGGGCGAGTTAGCAACAGAGGAGAAACTGTTTTAATAATCTGAGCTAAAAAAAAAAAAAAAAAAAAGGCTCCATGGATAAAAATTTGGCCAAAAAGCAAAGAAACACATTAGTCTGTTGCGCTGCCCTTTGGTCTGCCTCAGCACCACTCAGTTCAAATATTCAGAGGCATTTTCTGAACCGAATGTCAGTGCATAACCTCTAACGCCGAGGGAGAGATGTAGACTTGGTGTGACTCCATTGGTCCCTGTGGTTTGTAGTGGCGTCGGTGTGCTCTGAGTGTGCCTGTGATCAGCTGGAGGTCTGGTCCACCATTTTACTTTGTGGTGTAAAAGTATGGAAAAGATCAACATCAGTGTTCAGGGTTAGGGTTTTATCTTGGGTTTCAAAGTGAAATAAATAAGAATATTTATAAATAAGAGCATTTACTGACACCTGGCAGAGAGTCCCATCTTTTGAAAAAATATAAAGTTTTAAATGAAATAAATGAATAAAATAACACGCAGTAGAAATCATTTGAAGTGTGTGAACCAGACTGACTGAGCTGTGAGGCCTGTGAGCCACTGATTCCACATCTTTGACATTGTATTATGAGAGAGACATGTCCTTCTGTCCTCCCAAGGCGTCCTCCTGGAGCAGCCTTGTGGGGCAGCCTCCTGATGGGGTTATGCTGGGGGGGCCACGCTGGTCCATCCTCTTGTGTGTTGTTGTAAGGGCTTGGGAGGAGACACTGTGGGCTGTGAAAGCATAAGGGACGACAGCAATGGACCACCAGACCTGAAACAGAGCCAAAAACATGGAAAATGGTGATCTGATTGAGAATGCACCTGGGACAATAAGACATGTTCATGACCTCGAATGCCTTACGTGTTTAACCAGTGTTTGTGTAAATCAGGACAACAATATCAAACATATCTAAAGCACTAAAGCTATTCTAACGCCTCACAACTGTTCAGGGGCTCATGTTCTGCTTCTAATATGCAGTAACCCGCCTTTCTGTCACACTAAGAACGGTTCTCAAATAGGCTGTGTTCACGTTCTACAGTTTGATGATGTCATAGTTTCAGATTGAGGGAGGGGCCTATATAACCCTATGAGAGATTCACTGTTTATGAAGGAAATCTCCAAACTTAAGATTTACAAATGTTGAAACTAATTTTGATTTAGGAATTGGCTCCACAAACCTGTCATATTTCTTTTCTGGATTAAACTTCTTTCAGTTCACGACAATCACGTCTTTGGTGAGGAATAATAGCACCACTTTCTGAAGATGCTGTTAAATTTAAATTTCACACTCTTTCCTTGGTAAACTTACAGCGGGAGCATCTCAGGATGGATCTTCATTCACTCTAGAATTCTGAGCCATCCTCCAGCTCAGTTAAAACTAGAGGGTTTCTAGAATGTTGTGCTGTCACGTCAAAGCAGCCTGTTCCGTTCTGAGTTGTGGCGTTGTCTTTGCGTGGCGTTACCCGTGTGCAGGCCAAGCTACATGTCTTCTTGTGTCGTCCTACACTGTTCTAAACTCTGTGGTGCCATCTGCTGTCAGGGAAACCTCACTTCAAGTGCCAGTCCTGAGGCCCACATGCTCACAGTCAGGGGCCCCTCACAGTATTCAGGAGTCCTTCACAGCTCATAGTATAGTACAGGGGCCCCTCACAGTTCATATAGTACAGTCCAGACCGGGCCCCAAGCCTAGGCCCCTGTCACCAGCATCAGCGTGCAGCCAGGCCACAGGAACCACTAATGTTGATCATATTTTTGCCTCCCTTTTTTGCACAGTTTTGTCGAACTGGATGTAAGTTGTTTTTTTTCATTGTATTATTTTGTATGCCATTTTTATTATTACTTATTTTAATATCTGAAGACGGGAGGGACTGACCAAAAATCTATGTAAAGAAATGTTCTATTGTTAAATAAAGCTATAATAGATCTAGAGATGTAACTATGTAAAGGGACCAGGGGGACACATTCAGGCAATAAGACATCACTATTTGAACAATCCCATAATGCAGAGTTTTGTCATCTTGGACTTTTTCAGCCGAGCTTTTTTCATGTGCCCGTATCTCTCCAAATCCAGTGGTGTCGTAACTTTTTTCATTTTTTACAACACTTTTTATTGTTGTAAATCATTTCACTTTATTATTTGCAGTATTTATTGGTTTAATTTGCTGTTTAGTTCAGATGTTCAGATGTATTCAAGCTCACGTGCTCTCGTTCACCGGCGTTGATCGGTGCTTTTGTTAAAGATGAATATATGTGGGAAATATGGTTATTGTTGAAAAATAAATTATTTTCTCAAAAGAAGTGTTGCCTTTATGTTTCTGTCATTATGTTAGACATGTACTATGTGTAACAGACGACTGTACAACTGTGTAATCTTATTCTAGTAATTCTACTAAAAACAAACTTGTTATATAACCATAAAGTTTAACAAGCGCCAAAGCTCAATTAATTTAACACTCATTATTTCATAAAGTTTTTTTTAACATGTCAACAGTGTGCTCACAGATAGTTCCTGCGTTTTCAATGGTACTGTGTGTATTGATGACATTTGGGAAAATTTCGCTATTTGAGCTGTGCTACGTTGTGTTTTTTTCCACTTTATGTTTTCAACTTTTCTTTACAAACTGCCCCTTAACTGATGTAAAAAAAAAAACTTATGGATAGTACCTGTGGTCAGTATCTATCAAAGTCTTCTTTTTCCTCTTCTTGGTGGGACATGAACACCTCCCCAGGGAGCCTCAGCTGCTCTTCCCAGAGTTCTCCACGTGTCACATGAGGAGTAATCCATAAACAAACATGAAAACCTGTCACACTTGTGTTTGTACAAATATTAACGATTCCCAGAACTAAAGTGTTATTTTAGCAAAAACCTTATTTCTTCAAACTGTTAAAACAAATTCTTACACAACTTTGGACCTCCATTTCTAGACCATTACAGTGTGTAAAGTGAAAGAGCAAACTCCACACAGAAAAGTAGTTTATTTAAATATTTCAAAGCCATAACAGCGCCGTGGCAGTACAGAGGGCAGTTCAGTGCAGGAATACACATACAAGCTTTGATCTCCTCCACCTTATATGCATTACCTTTAACTGTGCAGGATTCTAGGCCCATGTGCTCCCTGTTTAAAGTGCAGAGAACAGGTTCGACTATGCATTTCACTAAAACAGGTCACATCATTCGATTGAAAATGTTTTGCCTCGTCTTTTCTCTGATTGGGCAGAGCTCAGAGATTATGCTGATTGAGGTTTAAAATGACTAAATGTAATTTTTTCCTTGTTTGATCAAATGTTTATCAGAGTGTGATCTGGAGGACTAAAAGAACAACATGGGGGACTAAAGGCGGGGCCGAGAAGAACTTAAAACTCCACCCCTGTGATCTGAAACACCTGTCTGTAATCAGGGCAGTTCTGTGTCATATCACCAACTACTTGAAACTGCAGAAGTCACTGAAGACAGCAAAAGCTTTGATTTAGCCGTTTTTAACTGAAACCTGCCTGGTTTACACTGGTTGCCAAAAGGAACAGTAGATAATGCTACTACAACACCACACACAGTTTAGGTGCAAAAAAGTGGATTTAGTATTTAGTTTCACTTTAAGTACATTATTGGCTACAGTACTACAGAGTATATTTTACTCATATAACTTTACTTTTACTTAAGTACATGATGTCAGTATTCTTCCTATTACCGATCATTTGTACAATATATAAATATGTCAAATGCACTTTAAGTCACAGAACCTTCAGAATCTATAGGCACGTTAGGTTGTGTTAGCTCCTCTACAAAACCTCTAACAACTCAATATAATCATGTCTAAACATCCAAGTACCTTCAGCTAGAACCACTCCACTCTCCTCTGACCTCTGACCTCTGCTAGCATAACACATAACCTTCTCACATCTCTACAATAAGTGACATAAGTGTAGTCACTTTTAGAGCGCTGTGTCCTCAGAGCCGAAGAGCTTGGTGGCGATGGAGCGGTAGTCCATTACGGGGGATTTCCCATCGAAGTCTGAGGGCAGGATGTTCACATCAAACTCCTGAAGGTAACTGTCCAGCTCCTCTCCATGGACAAACACCTGCACACACACACACACACACACACACACACGGACCACTTAAAGGTGCACGCACACATACCACACTGAACAGTGTTGAAGGTGCAGCAGAGGACACAGGTCACTATCAGAGTTTACACATGTACCACTGGAGCAACTACTGCTTGTATGGAATTGCTTTGCCTTTACATGTTCCACCGAAGAATTCAGTGTAGAAACATTAAATCCTCATTAAGTCTTCAGTTTACTTAAAGGTATTTATTGCAAAAATAAATAAATAAATAAATAAAATTGAAGATTTTTGAGTGTTAAATTTAGTGCAATGTGATTTCTTCCTTAATTTCATGTGCTCTAACGCCCTCTGCTGGCACCAATTGTAAAGCATCTTGGAAAGATAAATTGAATGAAATTATGAATTAACATAATGGGTGTTGACAACACAACTTTAGATAAGTGATTTAGTGATTTGGCTGGAGTCCGTACCCTCTCCAGCAGCTTGCTCTTCATGAAGGGTTTGACCACATTGTAGGTGGTGGTGAAGTACCAGGGCTGGTGGGTCACATGGACGGCTTTAAACCTCGCAGGGAACGAGTCCTGTGCACAGAGCGACATGTAACACACTGTCATACACATAACACACTGTCATATACATAACACACTGTCTTATGTATATGTATATGTATATGACAGTGTGTTATGTGTATGACAGTGTGTTATGTGTATCACACTGCCATGTACATAACACACTGTCATACATATAATGCACTGTAATATTCAAACATATACACAAGTCAATACTGTATCCTCTGTCTGTACCCTCTGTGTGCACACGGCTCTGTACATTCTCTGTGATGTTGTGCACATGGCTATGTACCTGCAGCATGTCCACCATCTTCTTGAGCTCGACAGGCTTGATGCCTGAGGCGTGCTGCATGGTGAAGCCCTTAAAGTTTTCAATGAGCACAAATCCATTGATCTGGGTCTCCTCATTCTCCAGCAGCTTCTCCAGGATCACGCAGTAGGCCCTTAAGATCTGACCCCAAACACACACACAAGCATTATTACATATACTACAGAAGTGAAACACAGAAAACTGAACAAGTCTCAACTTATAAATATTTAGGGGTTCAAGTGGACAATCGTATGAATTGCATGAGCATGTGACAAGCGTGTGCTCCAAGATACACCAGCATCTGGACTTTCTTAGGAGATTAAGGGTGTTTGGAGTCAGCTCAAATATTATGATGACCCTCTGCAGAGCTAGTGTAGAGTTTGTGCTACAGTCAGCTGGTCTGGAAACCTGATGGTGAAGTATAAATGGCGGAGGTCACACTGGCTGAACGTCATGAACATCATCATGAGACAGGCTCTGAAGTACCTCAAAGATCCCTCTTAACACTCAGTGTGAATTTCTGCACTCTGAGGGAAGATACAGGGTTCCTTATGCAAAAATAAAAAGGTATAACAATGCAGACCATAAGATTTATTAACAACATGGACTGACTGTGCAGGTGTGTGGAGCAGGGTCATATATTGTCCAGTTGTACATGTTTGTTTTTTTGTTTTGTTTTTTGTTTTGTATTTTGTTATGTCATGGCTGTATGTTGTGTATGCTGCTGACCTTTGCTCTGAGGCAAATTTCTCCATGAGACGAAATAAATGAAAACCTGAAACCTGAACCTGAGGAATTTTACTTCTGTCTCTTTACCATCAGCCCACTACAGAACAAAATGCACATGCAGCTAATGCTTCAGCCAAGCACTGTTGATCAAACATGGCTCCTTCTTCCTGATGTTATGTTGAACTGAATAATAAGAATAATCCATTGGATTTACATAGCATCTTTCAAGCATCTACAGAGCATCACAGCGTGTACAGTGGATAAATATCCACTGTACACGCTGTGATGGTAAGCTACTGCTACAGCCACAGCTGCCCTGGGGCAGACTGACAGAAGTGAGGCTGCCAATCTGTCCCTGTGACCACCACACACCGCATTCATACAAAGCTTAGACTTTGTCTTTAGGCAAGTCTAAATTTAAATGCAAAGCCAAGCTTACTACAAGCACTCCTCCTTCAGCTGTACCACAAGATTTAGACCAGGAATTGTATGTAAGATTTTAATTTTACTTATTAAACTTGACCTATTTGTGTCCCAGATATGAGGTATTCAAATCAAATATTGTATTTTAAAGATAACAATTCTAATGCAGATTTATTCTTTATTACAAAAACAACGGGCATGATTATAATGTGTTGTTCTGGTCCAAGACAATTCTCCAATCAGAAAGCAGAATGCCTCACATGACTCTCTCATTTGTGTTGCAACTTTCAATGCTAAAATCCAGTTGGTTTAAACCTAAAATGCCTCTCATCTGAATGGTCATGAGTCAGTGCTAGTGCAGTCTCTGCAGCTCAGGGAATTCTGAAGTTTCTGAGCTTTCACAATAGGCCTGTGCATAAACTGAGAATGAGACAAACTTGTGGGTGAAGGTTTTGGTGACACAGGCTCAGTTGTGACTGTGGCAACTTTTAAACTGTGAGAGTGCAGACTACATACAGTTCCTTTAACAAACAAAAATAAATATTGCCTACATATCTAACAGTGTGATTCTGACTTGAAGAAGGTGTAAGAAGGTGTGGAGAACCTCATCAAAGGTGATCTCCTCCAGGTCCCAGTTGTTGATGTTGAAGAGCAGGACCACCCGTCCGTACTTGTCTCTGCTGGGGAGCACCACAGGGTACCCGGCCTCGATGGTGCTGCGGACCGCCTCAGGGGTCAGGTTCTCAAACAGCTCGGGGTACTCTCTCCTGAAGCGCACATAGCCTGCACACAAGCACATCCATCACTGTACACAATGAGCCCACTGTCTACTGCCCCAATTAACCCACAGAGAGTGTCCTGGTATGCACACGGCCACACGCCCCAAAACAGAGCCTGAGAGCGGCTCCGAGAGGCCAGAGAACCAGAGGCCCATTTATGAAATGTGAAATTCTAACTTAAAGTGACAAAACACATCCTCCTCAAAACATTCTAATGTTGTATAATAAGCAAAGTGTTGTTCAACAACACAACAGGCATGGTTCAAATAACAGAATCTAAAACTAGCTATGATTCCAGTAACAGTCTCCAAAACCGTGTGTCGTATAAATACCAGTAGCAATAAATATGTATTGTTCAAGTACCAGTGTTGAAAAGCAAGTGTCATTCAAGAGCCTTTATCAAAAACTGTAAATAGAATTCTAAGTAAAAGTGCATATCCGGATAAAACACAGACTTCTGCAGATATATTCATAGCTCCTGTGTCTTCTGTCTCTGAAAACCCAAACATGCAAAGTTCTCAAAGCGGACAGTTGACTGTACGCACAGGAGGGTAGAGGAGCCAGCTGTACTCACATAAGAGTAACATTACAGCAAAATAATATTCCTCAAATAGAAGTACAAAGTAGTTGCCTGGGATCCAAAATACTCTTCTTCAGTACTTTATGAAAATGGGAGTCTGGTCAATGATGAACCTCACAATTTTCAAATGCATGACTGACAGGTGGATTAGCCAATCAGAGACACACATGGTCTGAATCAGAAACTTAAACAACAAAATATGACAGAGGCAGATTTCTGCAGAATCAGTGAGTGAACTACTACACTCTTCATCTGAGGTGAACTACTTTTAATTTTACTTGTAAATGATAAGTTATTTCAAGTCTCTTCATTTCACATGCATCACTAAAAAAAAGACAAATCTGAGTGAACGATCACGTTTGACCAGGTTTGACATGTGACAGAGGGCATGGGGAGTAGACTCATATCAGTCTGTATAAATAATACTGACACATGTCATTTACCAGGCAAAAAAAGCACTGGTCTAAGAAATTAAGCTCATGTAATGCGGTGGACTAAATATTAAATAATGCACAAAATCTGCAATTTACAAAGGACAGACACAGAAATGAGACAAATGACCCTTTGGACCCTCAGTCTGGGTCAGTGGGCTATATACACAGTGATGGGGAAGGCTGCAGACTGGACACATGTCCAGAACACAGTCACTGACCCTCCATAAGGAGAAAGACACAAAAGGTCATTGCTAACAAAGCTGTTTGTCCACAGAGTGCTGAATCCAAGCAGATTCATGGCAACTTGAGAGGGAAAAAAATGTAGTAGGACTTTGTTTGTCATTTGGAAATCACTATCAAAGCAACCTGGGCTTCCATTCCACCTGAGCAGTGCCACAGGGTGATCAGCCCCATGCCACAATAGTAACATACTGTTCACAAGCCTGACATTTCTGTTTAAAATATCCTTTTTAATCAAATTAATAAATCTATATTTCTGAGATGAGTGACAAAAAAAAAAAAAAAAAAAAAAAGAACTTTTTCATTACTATTTCATAAGTTATCTTTTTATAGATAACAAAAGTAACATTAAAAGTCAAGTACAAAACGTGAGCTCCCAGCACAGTGCTGGAGTTCTATAGCACATCTCTAAGACTTGGCTTTGGGTCCAATGTGTCTGAGCAGTGAGCACAGGCTGCAGGTCAATTCCATCCTGAGCAAATACAGGCAGAGCTTTGGATAAGATGCCTTGTATGAGCTTGTTCATCTATTGTCCATATGTAGCTGATTTTAAAAATGAGTATCAACAGAACAGCCCTGGTTGAGTAAAGTGATTTCAGAGTAACCTCAGATCCTGTCTGTAGTTGGTACAATCACTGTGTTGACAATGTCTGGAGCAGATTATGATGATGAGATAGATTATTATGAGAGGGAGAAGTTCCCACTGAAACACACAGGGTTCACTAGTGAAGTCCAGAGTGGACACAAAGGCTGTTTGTTTGCAAGAGCAGAGGATTATTGCTGCTCTCCTGATTAATGAGGACATGTGTGTATGTGTGTGTGTGTGTGTGTTGTATGTGGGGGGGGGGGGGGTCTGCAAGTGTCTAAGCAGGTTATCTGCCCCAGAGCACAGGAATGAGGCTCCAGCACTGGGCACATGAGTGTGACTGAGGCTCATTGAGCTCAAGGATTTGTACAAGTATCAAATCATAAAAGTACCAGTAAGAGAGAAATGGAAAGGTACCAGCCCTCTCTCCTTCTCAGTACATCAGCACGTCAGTAGATCAGTGGTCCTCACCCTTCATAAGCTCGTGGGCGCGGGACACATCAAACTTGCGCGCTCGGAGAAAACGCAGCAACAGGGCATCTGGTTTATCCCCAAAGGTGTCCAGGATGAGTGTGCCGAGGTCATCCCCCTCAGCGCGCTCTCGCATCAGGGCCCTCAGCTCCTTCAAAGAGGCCCCCCTCCGCTCAGGGGTCTCATTCAGCTCATCTTTAGCCTGAGAACAGAACAGCAGCGTGGTCAAATACACAAGAGCAGAGCAGAAGATGAGCTCTGGAAAACAGAATATGGAATAAAGCAAATTAAATTACTCTATTTTCTGATCCACATTATAACGTAGTTTCCTCATCACAAACAGACCTGGACTTTGGGTTTTGTTTCCCATTCCCTGGGAATACCCAGGGAATGGAGCTGTTAAATGAACAAGCTCACAAGAGTAAATTTTGCATAATATAGGACCTTGTATTCTTGTCAAGATACTTTACATCATGGATTGTATACAACATAATCTGTCCATTTTACAGGTAAGAAGCACTAATACAGAAGTTCCTGACAGCGTTACATGTTACTTGCCTTCTGCACTGTGTGGGGGGGCAGTTTCTGGCAAACTCCAAACACAGGGCCATGATCCTTCACCGTCAGATGCTCCAGTTTGGACCTCATGGCCTGCTCCTCCTCCGAGACCATCCGGAACGAGCCAGTCTACATCACAGGGATGAGTCACAACAGACACCAACAGCACACAGAGACGAGTCACGACAGAGACACCAACAGCGCACAGAGACGAGTCACGACAGAGACACCAACAGCACACAGGGACGAGTCACGACAGACACCAACAGCACACAGGGACGAGTCACGACAGAGACACCAACAGCACACAGGAACGAGTCACGACAGACACCAACAACACACAGGAACGAGTCACGACAGACACCAACAGCACACAGGGACGAGTCACGACAGAGACACCAACAGCACACAGAGACGAGTCACGACAGACACCAGCAGCACACAGGGACGAGTCACGACAGAGACACCAACAGCGCACAGGGACGAGTCACGACAGACACCAACAGCACACAGGGACGAGTCACGACAGAGACACCAACAGCACACAGGGACGAGTCACGACAGAGACACCAACAGCACATAGGGACGAGTCACGACAGAGACACCAACAGCACACAGGGACGAGTCACGACAGAGACACCAACAGCACACAGAGACGAGTCACGACAGACACCAACAGCACACAGGAACGAGTCACGACAGACACCAACAACACACAGGAACGAGTCACGACAGACACCAACAGCACACAGGGACGAGTCACGACAGAGACACCAACAGCACACAGAGACGAGTCACGACAGACACCAGCAGCACACAGGGACGAGTCACGACAGAGACACCAACAGCACACAGGGACGAGTCACGACAGAGACACCAACAGCACACAGGGACGAGTCACGACAGAGACACCAACAGCACACAGGAACGAGTCACGACAGACACCAACAGCACACAGAGACGAGTCACGACAGAGACACCAACAGCACACAGGGACGAGTCACGACAGAGACACCAACAGCACACAGGAACGAGTCACGACAGACACCAACAGCACACAGGGACGAGTCACGACAGAGACACCAACAGCACACAGGGACGAGTCACGACAGAGACACCAACAGCACACAGAGACGAGTCACGACAGACACCAACAGCACACATTTATTTAAAAAACTTTAACTCATTTACTTATGAATTCTGAACAATAACAAATTGCTCCCAATGACAAATTTGTAGCACCATTCAAGTCTGTTTTTCTCTCGACAGGTAGGGGGCAGAGCCAGGACTTGTGAGTCCACTGTTAATCTGCCTCACACGCACAAAGGGGGGGCTCCCACAGCACTGACCCCCCCCCCCCCCAGCACACAGAGGCCACTGCCTCAGACAGATCAGACATACAACACTGTGTTCATTACTCACTGCAGCCATGGCCGAGTCTCACAGTCGTCACTAAATCTGCAGGAAAACAAGAGCATTTCATTACACGAGTACTCACTGTTCTCATGTTACTTTATTTATTATTTATTTTCTTCTGTCAGCTGACATCATCATCACATTACAATGATTTATGTCACAGGAAATTATTATAAATCGATGCACTCTGCACCTTTCTGTGAGCAGTTTGCATGTTCTACCTGTGTCTGGGTCATTAACCTAAAACATGCACAATTGGTCAAATCTTCCAGATAAAGTAGTTCTGATGAAAACTAGCTCAAGATGAGGACAATGGGCCCCCGCGCTTTGTGCTGGAACACCCACTGCTCCTGACAGGTGGCCCCAGTGCCTTTAAAGGATGGGTCAAATGCAAAGGACATATACCCTGACCTTAAGTAACCATATGTAAGTGGTAGCTTATACACACAATTGAAATATGTGGAACATATAATACACTGAAATATTTGGTCCCAATAATTATCAGCAAACTACATTTGGCAGTTTTTGATATGGTCAAATCCTCATATAATTCTCTATAGTCCTGTTTTAAAATAACATATAATTACAGTACATCCACAAGACACATTTTCAGGTTTATATAGATTCTTTCATGCCACTTCTTTAAAGCTACATTACGTTACATTCCGAATATTTAGCATTGAAAATGACATCTGACATTTATGTGCAGCTCGTCCTTGTACATAAAACAACATGAAACAAATCGGGCTGTGATGTCCAGTGTGTGAGAGCCATGTCCTACCTTGAGCTGATGAGAGCCGCAGACTGAGGCAAGAGCCAGAGACGCACAGAGGAGCACCCACACAGGGGAGGAGCAGGGGCCCACAGGGTGAGCACCCACAGAGGGGAGGAGCAAGGGCCCGAGAGGCAGAGACAAGAGAGTACCCGTGGGGAGGAGCCTAGGGGAGAGAGTTCTTTTGTGGAGGAGCTGGGACCAGAGAAGCAGAGAGCATAGAGGGGGAGAGTACCTAGTGGAGGGGATCAGTAAGGACCAGAGTACCAGAGTGGAGCTCACAGGGAGAAGTACATGAGGGGAGGAGCAAAGGGCTGAGGCAGGGAGGAATAACAGAGGGGGAGAGTACCCACATGGAAGGAAGGAGTCCATAAAAGGAAAGAACCTGCAGAAAGGGGAGGAGCAAGGGCAGAAAGGAGATGACAGGGAGAGTACCTGCAGAGGGGGAGCCACGAGTGCCATGGTTCATGTTTTGTAGTGGTGTCTCACCTGTGTCTCATTCATGTGTGTGCATTTATACCCTGTGTTCTCGTCTGCACTTTGTTGGTCCATTGTCTCTGTCCGAGTTTCTCCGTGTCTCTTGTCATGGCAATTTAGTCTTGAGTTTTGGATTTTTTTGAATTGTCATTAAATAATTTGAAGCAGTCCTGCGTTTTGGGTCCTCCCTCTGTTTACACGTAACATCAATGACCTTAAGTTTTTGTCATTGTGGCACTTTGTTGTTAAAGTCCTGAAGGAAACACAATTTAAGAGTCACATTTTTACAACATAATCTCCTGTTCACTCAACAGGCACATGCATTTGTCTTCTGAAAGAAAACATGATATTGACTGACAGAAAAAAAATATTTTATTGATGCTAGTTTTTGTGCTAAGATATTATGCAGAAAACCCGTTTCAATTAGAGGCAATAAAAAAGAAAGTTCAGTCCAAACATTGTGAAGTGAATGGTTCATGCGTCCACTGTACTCCCCCCAGACTCGTGTCACTGTCATCACTGCACGACCATCATCTTCTTAACAATTCACCTCAGCCTATTGAATTTGAGTATTGATGGTGGCAGTAACTCAGTTGGTAGAGCATTCGCCCACTGATCTGAAGGTTGGTGGTTTGATTCCAGCTCTCGACATGAACATCACAGGTTGAGCGGTCAGATCCACTGACCCACAGGTTGGCTGGTGTGATTCCAGCTCCCACAGATGAATGCTGCCGTTGTGTCCTTGGGCAAGACACTTAACCCACCTTGCCCACAGTGTCTGCGTACAATGATGTGTGAATGTGTGTGTGAATGGGTGAGTGGTTCCTTGTTGTAAAGCGCTTTGAGAGCCTTGAAGGTGGAAAAGTGCTATAGAAAAATGTGACCATTTACCATTTACCATGGCAGATATTCCAAGGAGAGACTAACATGAGCCTCCTCGACACAGCCCATGTGTGTGTGTGTGTGTGTGTGTGTGTGTGTGTGGTCTAAAGGAGCAAATGATGATCATGATGAAAGGCTTAAATTGCATCAATTATGGAAACTTCTGTGCATTTGAGTCTATAAATATGAATGTATTTTCATTAAACTTAAAAGAGCTTTCTCAGCACTAATGGAGCATTTTGGGAAGGTCAACCCAGATGATTTTAAAAGTTCATAAATAAGCACCACCCATCCCTGTAGCTAACCCCCACTAAACTGGTTTAGACAGAGACCATTCAGATCAGACAGAGTCTTTTTATTTTTAAACCAACTGGATATCAAACATTGGAACTGGCAGAGCAAATGAGAGACTCATGTGAGGGTCATACTGCTTTCTGATAACATAACACACAACAACATGAGAGTGTTACAGTGTGGTTTACAGTGAGGTCCAGCGTCGAGCAGCATGCAAACACCACACACTGACCCCAAATGTTCTGGGAATCAAACCAAGGAGCTTCTGGCTGAGATGCTGAGAGCTACACCCTCTAAGCCACTGCTGCCGTGCACCCTGTGAAAAACACCCGAGCAAAACAGTGAGTCACCTGTCACCTGTCCCCTGCCGGTCAGGTGCTGTGCAGGGGACTCACATGGGGTCTGCTCACATTCCTCTGTTGGGGAGAGCTGCAGATTAGAAATCCAAGAGTTAGTGAATAACAGGACCACACATCACTTTACAAGAGCTCAGCAGCAGTGGGAGAAACACTGATAAGTAAAGAACAAAAAGAACAAAAAGAACACATCAGCCTGATGCACTCAGAACATGTCCCACCTTTAACAGCAGCACTTTATTCAGGCCCCATATTATGCAGCATTTGTGAGCTTTTAGCCAGGTTAAAATGTTGTTACCTCCTCCAAAACATACAGTTGTGTTTTGTTTTATTCACCGCATTATTTGTCTGTCTACATCTCCAAAGCTCAAAATGCTCCATTCCACTTTGTGATGTCATGAAGTGGCAGTTTTCAAGTGAACAGCTCCTTTTAGTTCAGTAGAGACTGGAAATTCCAGAGCTGAAATTATCCAAATGATTTTAAGGAAGGTATATGGAGTTTAAAAACACAGTGGAGCACTTCCTGTATTACCACATGATGACATCACAAGGTGGAACCAAGTGTTTTCAGTTTGAGAGAAGAACTCAGCGTAGATATGCAAAGTTTGTGTGTTAAACATGTGTGAATGAAACAAAACGCAAGTCCAGGTGTGTGTGTGATGAGGAAACATTAGAACAGCCTCATCGGGCCTTTTAAGGTGAAAAACAAGGATTAAAATGGTCCATGTTTGTTCTTGTTGCAGTAGAAGCCTGAGTGGAGAGACTGTGAAGCAAACACTCAAGTGTCAGGAGATTCCACTGTGGAACAGAGAGCCAACATGAATCATCTGAGAGACAAAGCACAAACCCACAGTCAGCGATGCTCAGGGGCGAGTCTGAGATTCACATAGTCCCAAAACAGAAGTCCTGTTTGCACACTCGTGTAGTGATCACTGTGTCACATTTGAAAAGTCCACCATTTGCATCTACAGAAGTGAAAGAAAAAAAGGCTTGTCTCTTCTCCCTCTCATCCTGTGCCCACTTGTCCCCCGTCTCTTGTCCTGTCATGTCCTCCTGTCCCCCTATCCTCCCCTGTGATATCCCTGTGTTGCCCTCATGTTCCCTGTCCCCCTGTTCCCTGCTTGTCCTCTGCTTGTCCCTGTCCCCTCATTAGTGCAGTACTATGAATCCCTCTGTGGCTGCACATGGGCCCCCCCCCCGTTACATTGTTAAAACATAAATAGGACCACACAAATGATGAAATTTGTTCTAATTTAATCAACAGGTAAAAGTGCTGTTACGCTGTCAAATATATTACTGAAGTATATTACTGAAGTAGGAGTAAAAGTATTGTCTGACAATAACTTCAAGCAGTGCTGTTGTATTACAAATGTAAATGTAGTTTCAGCACTGCCCTCTAGTGGTAAACTAGTGACATTCAACTCCCTCCATACTGACCAGCACCACACACTGAGCCTTCTCTCCATACTGACCAGCATCACACACTGAGCCTTCTCTCCATACTGACCAGCACCACACACTGAGCCTTCCCTCCATACTGACCAGCACCACACACTGAGCCTTCCCTCCATACTGACCAGCACCACACACTGAGCCTTCCCTCCATACTGACCAGCACCACACACTGAGCCTTCCCTCCATACTGACCAGCACCACACACTGAGCCTTCCCTCTGCATTGACCTTAGGTCCAGTAGCTCACTCCTCATGAGTGACACTGAACAGTCACAGGACTCACAGCAGGAAGTGAAGGTTCTGTGGAGTTATGTTTTGTTTCAATCACACACACATAACACACAAACTCTGCAGATTTAGGCTGTATTCATCTCTAAAATGCTCCTCCACCTTGTGATGTCATGTAATAATACAGGAAGTGCTCCACTGTGTTTTTAAACTCCACAAAGCTTCACTAGAATCATTTGAATGTAAAAAGTAAAAAAGTAAAAAGTAAAAGTGAAAAGTTGCCTGGACAAATCCAGACTCATCGTTGTACCAGTGGCTGATGTGGATCTGTATAACAAATACAGAGATTTTCTTCTGGATTTCCAGCAAGGTAAAAGGAGCTGTACACTTGAAAACTACTACTTCATGACATCACAAGGTGGAACAGCATTTTGAGCTTTGGAGATGTAAACAGACTAATAAGAAAGAAAGAAATTCACAAACGTGTGAATGAAACAAAACCCTCTGGGTTGTTTTTGAGGAGATAACAACATTCTAACATGGCTCACAAGAGTCAGTTTTAATATAAGACTTTTAAGGTAGACAAGGTTTGATCAAGTCATCACTTATCAAGACTCCAGAAACCAATTTTAACTTGATGGTAGTGTAGTTTATCATTTGACTCTGCATTTTGGATGACAATTCTGCAGTGAATAGACAGGTAGAGGGAGTTTTAGATCTTTAGAATTTTAGAATTCAGTGCTACTTCCTGTATTTTTATTTTTTTCACAAACTGCCACTTAACTGATGTAAAATTATGATGTAGCAAAGGTATATCCCACCCACTAACAGCAGCATCACACTTACCCCGTACTGAGTATGTGCAGAGAGAGACTACTGCAGACCTGTGCACTGTGGTGGTACATTTTACTCTGCATTCACTTTGTGTGCACATTTTCAGACTTGTTTTACACTCTAGATGAGTTTGTATTGCTGAGTTTCAGATGACATCACTATATTCTCTAACACTTTATAGAAAAGGGTACACATCGTTTGGAAATGTTTATTACCCATTAACCCCTGGACCTCCTGATGCTGCAGGACACAGAGGAGGGACACTTTTGTCTCTTCCACAGGATCTGCTGAACCTCCCTGACCTGAGCTCCTGTGAAACTGACCTGAGACCTTTGACTGACACACAGAGGACACTGAGATGCACAGTGGAAATGATGCAGCAACAGTTTACTGCAGCCAAACTTGAAATTCCCTCAGGATCTCTCTGTCTCTAATCCTTTACTAAAGACTGTAATTAAGGATTAATAAACATTTGTAAATTGTTTGTAATTTGTGACTGTTTTATAAATGAACAATAACACTTTTTGTCCACATTTGTAAATTAATATTAAACACTTCAAGACTTTTCAATTACAAAAACAGATTTCTCTGTTTTGAAAAAAATGGCAAAAAGTTTTTGTTGCCATGTTCTACAGATCTTCTGAGTGACAGTGGATTAGATCAGGGAGGGAAGGAATATTATTTAGATTGCAACAAAACAGTTAGCTTTCCAAAACATTTCTATACAGAGAGTAAAGTGGACGCCTGTGACCACTTTATAAAATCCTTCATTTTTGCAAATAAACTCACTTTGTTCATGAGGTCACACACACGCACGCACACACACACAGACACACACACACACACACGCACGCACGCACACGCACGCACGCACACACACACACAGACACACACACACACGCACACATGCACACCCCCGCACATATACATACATACACACACACTCCTTTAAATTAAAACACTAATAATTTATTAGTCAAACTGTAGCAACATAAAATCATAACAGAGGTCACCAAAACAAGGCTAAATGAAGACAAATAAAAAATGACATTTAAATCAAATAAAATTCCCACCAAAATGCATTTCTGAACCTCATTATTTCTTACATTTAGGTTTTAATATGGATCTTCTGAGCTATGCAGCAACACAAATCTCTACGAAATCAAAATCATATCTCAGCTGAGACTTTGCAGCTGTTCATCAACCTTCCGAGAGTGTGACGCTAACTGAGGCACTGCTCTGTCTGAAGCTCTGTTACTGTAGACTTTAATCTGATCTTTTAACACAATTTAAACATAAAGAACAGACTTATCTGGAACTACAACTGATGAGCTGATTTGTGCTGTTAAACACGTCTCTCGCCAACAACATTTCAGTCACAAGCTCACTAGCATTAGCCAACAGTTTTTCAGTCAGTCACACTTAACTTTTAATTGAAAATCAAACTCCTGAACAGGACCATGAATCCTCTGACTGAGGCTCCTGAAAATGTGCTGTGTAAATAATAATAATCATAAAAAAGGAATTTTCAGAATTTGATGTCATAATGTCAGATGGAGAGCGGACTCTGTAGAACTCTTTGGGAGATTCACTTTTTTGAAAGAAATGTCCTAATGACTGATCTAGAAAATGAACCTTATCTGTTTGAGATGTTTAAAGTCCTTTAAAATCATTATTGTGTTTTGGGGTTGGATAATGACACCACTTTTGGAAGCTACAGTCAAAACATAATTAGATTTTTGTCTATTTCTCTTTGAGCTTTGTGTCAGTTTTTGTTTCCTGTGGATAATAATTACAGAGATGAACCATACTGAACCATATATATCTATGGTGGATTGTTCAACTCAAGAAGAAGAAAAAAAAAAAAAAAAAAAGACTTAAACAGCATGTTCTGGAGCTTGTGATCAATCCAGGCGTTCACAGTTTTGTTTAGGACTTTGAGGGGTGTCAGGGACTGACTGAAAAACTGCTGGCTACTACTAGCCAGCTTGAGACTGAAATATTTGAAAGGGACTTGTTTAACACAAATCAGCTCACCAACTGACCGAACTTTCAAGTTAGATTGTATTCAAATAAAGATCAGATTAAAGTCTAACAGAGACTTCGGTGTCACACCCATTGGGAAAGTTGATGAGATCAGCTGCAAAGTGTCTTTTGCAGAAACATGGAGTTAATCACAGCATGTATTGTCCTACAGGCCGAGTGCAAAAGCCAGCGCTGGAGTGAAGTAGTTTCACTGGTGTGTTTGAACCTCTAAGAATACATTTAAATAATACATACGAAAAAAAGAGTTACTGAATTTGAGCGATAACAAACCCCGCTCCTCTTATAGAGGTATTTTACACAGGCATTTCCTACACACACTTCAGCTGCAGAGTGACACAATCAAACACAGAGTCATGCATTTAAGTCACTCCTAAAGTGTACAGTGTCTTTGGCTTCAAACAGGAGAGCACAAACATTAAAAAGTACCATAAAAAAGTACCTACAGTAGTAACACGGGAATATCAAAAATAAATGAAGACACATCTTAAATACATGTGGAGTGGTCATAAACAAAGTAAACAGGACACAGGGCTGGGTCTGAAATTTAAAAAATCTGTTATCTGAATCTACTGAATACATCTCTATATATTACAGTCTGTCTTATTTGTGTCTAGAGGGTTTATATTGAATACAAAATTTGTCATCAATATGAGGAACTAAATCATTATTCTAGTCATGGCCCAGTCCTGCAATAAACACTGACCACAAAGGCAAACGTAACAGTCGCTCCTCACACCTGCACCAGCTGCACCGATACTGACACATCCTGTGTCACTGTTTGTGTCAATATAATCATTCTGCTGAGGGAAACTCAATAAAAACAAATGAGCGATGACTAAAACTAAGACTAAAATTTTAATTAAAAAGTCAAATTAAATGTCAGTTCAATCTGCTGTTGAGTTTTCAGTTAAAAAGCAGTTCGTTTTCATTCCTCTTGAATAACAACCTAGTATTAAAGGTCAGAGGTCAAATGGTAGTCGCAAAGGTCATATGGTCCAGTGGTGAGAGCTGATTCCCTCCTCACACTTTCTCTTACAGTGTAACATTGTATTTATAAATGTGTGTGACTGATTTATGTGTATACAATTTATAAAACCCCATTGTTCAAATAAGATCTTTGAAATAGTCATTGATGCACACAGCACTGCACAGATGTTAGTGTACAGACAGCAGTGTACAGACAGCAGTGTACAGACAGCAGTGTACAGACAGCAGTGTACAGACAGCAGTGTACAGACAGCAGTGTACAGACAGCAGTGTACACTGCAGTGCTTCATCAGCCCACAAAGGTGAGTGCTGCCATGATGCAGAAGCCCAGCAGGAGGAAGAGCACTTTGAGCAGTTGTCGTCCTGGAGAGTTGAGTTCGTGAGGCAGGATTTCCAGAAACGTGATGTAGACAAATGTGCCTGCAGCCAGCCCCTCCAGCACAGCCTGCACCAGAGCTCCAGAGTCCAGGTGCGACTCCATCACCCCGATGCCCAAGGCGATGCCCAGGGGAGACATGAGAGCAAACACACCCAGGTACGCTGCTACCCAGCCCGCATGCAGCCCGCTCTGCACCAGCTTCACCGACAGGCTGAACACAATGATGGACTTGTGCACCAGGATGGCAATGCAGATCTGCAGAACCTGAACAACACACAGAGTACGGGTCAGGTAGAACATCAACTGACAGTTCAATGTCCTCCTCCACCCCAAGAACAGGGTTAGACGTCAACAGTGTCATTCCTCAACACTGTAGTTGCAGGACTACATGGAAACAGAAAGTTAAAACAATTCCTCAGAAAATTCTCCATGGCGATACATACTTTTTATGCCAACCATTTGAATATTATTGCCAAAGGAAGTAAGGAACCCCATTTTCATGGAAACAAGGAGGTCCTCCTCGAGGCCAAATAAGATTTAAGTTTGTGGAGATGCAAGTCTGCTCATAGTAAAGACACACACATTTAAAAAATGTTTTTCAGTGCAAAAAAAAACATCTAAAATGTAATAAAAGGTGTAGTTTTTGACCAAGAAAATGCTTCAAAGTGATGAGGCTTTAAGCGGGTCTAATAGTGACAGGTTTGTATTGTAATAGCTGGCAGGCGTATTGAGTGAGTGACTTTGTGACGTATACGGTGACCTCCTGACTATTTCAGACCACAATAAGAAGATTCAACAGTTTTTTTGGGGGGGGCTGCTATAGAGTAAAATGAACACCATTAGTTCAACACTGTAGTAGTGCAGTAATCATGAGATGAGAGCAGGTCTTGTGACCACAGACACATTTGACCTCATGATTAATAAATCCCTGGTATTTAAAGGAAAGCAGTGTAGTTCTCCTGTTCCTCTGCGGACATGGTACTGAGTGTGTGTTATCACTACAGCACACTGTTTCTCCTCCATCGGGCTGGCTTTATCACTTCTATGGGTTTGTTTTTTAATAATAATTAAGAAAAAACACACACATTATGACACAACCCAAATAGTGATGTAAAGGGTTGCTACTTATACGATGACAGTATAGACCCTTTAAAATGCTGAGTCATCAGAATGTTAAAAATTCTGGAGAAGATTCAAAAGAAGAAGACATAATCCAGTGTTTAACTGATTCACAGATTTAATGACTTGTTGTTTTAAGGTTTTATAACAAACAATTCTCACTTACGAAGGTTCAAATATACGCTTTTCTAGCCTTGTATTTATGTTTCACAAAAAGTACAATTTATAGTGAAATGTGTAATATATCTCAACATTTTTATATTTGCCCAGTAAAACCTAGAAAATCTGGTTGTTTAAGAGAGGATCATAATCCTCTCTTAAACAAACAATTCATTTGAAACAGAACAGTAAATGTCTTTAAACCGGGCTCTGATATTACTCACATGCTTTTCATTTGCCAAATCATCCTGAATTTTACTCATGCACCATATTCTATGGTTAACCCCACTTCACCATTGAAATGTCATTATGTTTCATTTTTACTTTTGCCTCCAGAACAGAATAAGACAGCTAATAAGATACTCTGTTTGCAGAGGAAATGATGATACTTGAAAAAGTGTAGCCTTTCTGATTTGCTCAGTGTGTCCATTCAAACTGCTCTGGAGGTTGAGTTGTGATTCATGCAGCGCTGGTCTTACCTTGGCGTCAGTGTTCTGCAGCCCGATGGCCAGTCCCTCAAACACAGAGTGCAGGGACAGAGACAGGAAGAGCATGAAGGAGCGGAATGGGGAGTGAGCCTGTAGGTCAACATGGACGTGATGCCCACTGCCCTCCAGCTCCGGGCCCACCGCCTCGACACGCCCGTGTGTGTGCCCATGTCCATTTTCGTGTCCATGCAGAAGAGGCTCCCTCTCACTAGCAGGCGCTCTCCTCTCCTGGCAGTGCAGCACCAGTTTCTCCAGGATAAGCACAGTGAAGAAACCTGCTGCCAGGATGAACTCTGGGACAGGGAAACTCGTCTGAATGTACACACAACATAATAATAAAAGAAAAGAGAACACACAAAAACAAACATCAGCACACATGGAGCTCATAACACACTAGCACACCTGCACACTATTGAAATGGGACGTGTGCCTGTAACTTGAGGTTCAATTTAGTAAAAAATGTGAATGGGCCAGACCTGTAACCACAAAAGTGAAGAAATATCACTCTGTACTCTAGTTTGGGACTTGGGACACCTCTTACACTTGGGTCTCATTTGGAGGTCATTTCAAATAGATTTAGATAATAGACAAAATACTCCCACTATTCTCCCACTTCTACTTACACCACATTCATACTAGGCAAGGTGGGTGAAGCGTCTTGCCTAAGGATACAACGGCAGTTTTTGTGATTGACTCTCCCTTGTGGCCCAGCCCTGCTCAGCTTTTGAGATCTGACGAGATCAGGCTTTGACAAGCCGGTATGGCCACATAATGTACACTGTGTGCTGGTCCTGTAGTGATGCTGGACATACCTCCACCTGCCGGGCAGCCAGCTCTGCGCTGATGTCCGACAGATAATCTGGGAGAATGTCCAGGAGACATGCTGCCAGAAAGACTCCCCCAGCGAAACAGCTGATCAGGCTCAGCACAGTGCGGTGAGTGTCTGCAAACAGAGAAGAAACTTTATCACAAGAAAGGCACCCAACAGCAACTTTAAACTCTTTATGCTCTTTGCATCGTGAGACTTCTCAGGAGCATACATTCTGGAGCAGGAGTCTCCAACCTGTAGCTCAGGAGCTACCAGTAGCTGTCCACTCCCTTCCACTCCCACTCACCAAGAGATATCTGAATCATATGTATTGTGTTGCATAACTAAAATTTGATTTGATTAAATGTCTATTACCATTGTAAATGTATCATTCTGATGCCTATCTTTGTGCACTAATAAGTGGATTATAGTTGTGTAAATGTTTTATAGTCATCGAACTGCACCCCTTCTAAGGCTCTTCTATTTACTCTACTTCTTGTGACTGCTAAAATGAGTAGCTCATCGGAATTTTCGTTTCGTAAAGAGGAACACCAGAGGAAAAAGGTGGGAGACCCTTGTTCTGGAGCCTTGTTCTGGTGGGTCTGCAAATAATGAATGTTATGTTTAAGTCCAATTTAAGAATAAATAGTCAGGTGAATTATCTTTCCCTCCTACATACTGAAAATGCATCACATCATATTCACTAGGACGCTTTAACTCGAGGTACATTACATTATACATAGTAATCAAACTGTTCAGCCACAAAAATGGTTTCACTTCCTTTTCAAATGAGGCATGTGACAATCAGGGGAGAGTGGCTAGTCCAGTTTGGTGTTTCATTTTGTGCTAGCATAAGCTTTATTCCTTATCAGGTGACTATATTCTGGATAGTGCAAGAGGGCTCTTAAGGCAACTCATGAACTCCGGCACCACCCAACAATGTTTGATACTCAATCTACTTCATCTAATGCTAAACTGTTTTGTGAGTGGATTAAGGACTCACACCCACAATATGTCCAGCCAGATCAACAAAGATCACATCAACTCAATAGCCCCCCATGGCCCTTTCACTGTGGTTTGGAGTTTTAACTTTAGGAACAAAGATGACTTTTTAAAATTAAAAGTCTGTAAAACTTAAGAGAAGTTACATTTTATTGAAATGTGTCCTTGGCGTTACATTTCCTTATAAAAGAAACAGAAGCTTTCAAATGTAGAGGCAATGGTGTTATATGGTATTACTACATTGTCATTAGTTTTACTCAATTATTTAGCAGAATTTTACATAAATGTATTACCAAATTCAGTACAAATCTATTTTGCTGTTATGTTTATGTCTATCTTCCCATTTTGGAAATTTTAACATAAATGTGATATAATATAATAAATATTTTATTGCCTTTTTCCAGTGTGTTTGTTTTCCAAAAAACTGTAATACCATGAAAATCTATGTTTAGGCTAGGTAGTAGTGATGCTAATATAGTACTGAATGTATTTGCTAAAATTTTGAGTCAGAAAATCACCTCATTTTGATAACGTCCCTGGATTACGAGTAAATTCAACACAAAAGCAGGCCACATTTCAGTGTAATGTAAACCGTATGACTGCGGCGAAAAAGGGAAACACAAAATTGAACAATATTTGGAAAAACATGACTAAATTCCCTGATGGAACACACTGTAGCCTATACAATGATTTTATTACAACTTCCACACTTGGGAGACAGACTCTTGTGTTTCTTGATTTTATCAGTCTATGGGTGGGACGTACCAGTGCCGTTTGTGTCCCGAAACCACCGGACTCGGGCGGGGATGAAGCCGAAGAGCAGCGTGAGGAGCAGCAAGCCGAACAGAGCTCCGATCTTCACCTGCAGAAGGTACTCCATGTCCTGCAGAGGAACAGGCGGGGGTTCAGCGGGGGTTCGGTGCCTTCTCACCGACTGGAGGAGCGCAGTGTCCCGCGAAGGACCCGGAGCCGTGAAGGAGACATGAGGAGTGTGTGAGTGTGTTGTGTGTTCCGCTCACATACACACACTGTAAAGGAGACACACGTGACACAAACAGACCGACAACAAGAGTACGGCGGCCGAGGGGGAACAGAAAGGGTGCGATCAAAACAGAAGGAAATGCGAAGAAAAAAAAAAAAAAAAATTAAAAAATTGTTATTATTATTATTATTTTATTTTATTTTTTTACGGATTGTTATGGGGATCATTAACTTAAAGCTGTAATAGATTCAGACATTTTAAATGCTGTGGTTTGTTTGTTTGTTTGTTTGTTTTTTAAGACAGATTTTTGTAGAGATAATTTTTGTTCATTCTGAAATGAAAGAAAAGCATTCCATTTATTAATAAAGTTTTCCTATGTGAATTACAATGTTTCTCTGCTTTTGTCCTTATGCAAGTCAACAAATTACTTTTTTTTTTCAAAGAAGGTGAAGTACAATTTCTGTTCAAGCCAGTCCGTTAGGACAGTGTTGCTGAGAAGGATTCACCAGCCTCATCACTGTTAGGCTATAATGATTAAATAAACGTACATTTACCCAGAAAATAATGTCAAGGGTAAAAATTTGAATATCTTTTGTTTGACAGTTTGAATATAATATATAAGAATTTGCTTTCGCCAACAACGAGTTAGATTTTTGCATAGACAAGAGATGCGATGCATTTTTTTTTCTTCTGTAAAGTAAATGTAAAGAAAATGGAGAGCAAAATAGGAGTTTTCCTTTGTAGTTTTTTTTTTTTTTTTTTTTTTTTTTGAGAAAGTAGGAAATGGGTTTAAAAAATTAAATCCCCAAATCATAGTAAATTTTAATATTGAAAAGGTTTGCAGTTTCCATTTGTTCCCAACAGATGGCGCCAAAAAAAATCAATCCGTCCCATAAGAAATACGTGCGTAAACGTCATCATCATGAGCCACAAACGTAGCACGACTATTTCACGCGACGGATGCGTTCCTCCATTCTACAGGCTCTGTGCTGATGTGTTACTAAAACTAGACTCAAGTCTCTCCTTTTGGGCTCATCTTCTCATGCATGGACACAGTCTCCGAGTTTTAACTTAAGAGAAGGCTCCGGTCGGGAGGCTCATGTGAAAGAAACCGGAGACTAACAGCGGGAATGGCGGTGAGAGATGTCACTTCACCGGGTTCTAATCTGCAGCCTGAACAGGGCTCTGACCGGGGCTCTGATCGGGGCTCTGACCGGGGCTCTGATCGGGGCTCTGACCGGGGCTCTGACCGGGGCTCTGACCGGGGCTCTGACCGGGGCTCTGACCGGGGTCTTGAGCTATTTCTAAACTAACTTAGACACAATCTTTATTGATCCACAAGGAAAATGATTTGGACACAGGAACTCACACGTCACAATATCATACAATAACAAAAAGGAAAAAAATATAAATGGTAATAATACATTCTAAATAAGTAGCAAAAAAGCAAGAGACGTGTCAAATAAGACATAATTATATAAATGTAAATGTACAAGTCAAAATAAAATAGAAAAATAATTAATAAAATGTAAAATCACAGCTTTATACAAGAAGTGCAACAATAATACGAAGATTGACAGGACACAGAGTTATCTGTTCCATAAGGGTGAGTTGTTGTATAGTTGTAGGGAGTATTATCTGTTCCATAAGGGTGAATTGTTATGTAGTTGTAGGGAGGTATTATCTGTTACATAAGGGTGAATTGTTATGTAGTTTTAGGGAGTATTATCTGTTACCTAAGGGTGAGTTGTTGTACAGTTGTAGGGAGTATTATCTGTTACATAAGGGTGAATTGTTGTACTGTTGTGTTTTTGTGTTGTTGTTGTTGTTTTTTCACACATGTTTAAGTAACTCTTTATTATTAGTCTGTCTACATCTCAAAATGCTCTGTTCCACCTTGTGATGTCACGAAGCGGTAGTTTTCAAGATAACATCTCCTTTAGTTGTTTAATAGAGATTGGCACTTTCTGAAATTATCCAAATGATTCTAGTGAAGGTGTGTGGACTTTAAAAACAGTAGAGCACAGGGTGTTTTCTGTTTGAGAGAATAACTGAGCCTAAATATGCAGGATGTGTGCGTCAGTAAGATCCAGCTCTGTTTGTGATGAGGAAACAAAATTATAACAGACCAGAAAATAGTGTAATATGGGCCCTTTAATAATATCCTCTGAATAATATTATACAAGCTGTACATGAGGTGAGGTAATACAGATGCTGTAATGTTGAATCTTGTGGTAACTCCTTTCTGTGCAGCCCAAAGGGAAAGTCGGCACAAAAGGAAAGAAGCAGATCTATGAGGAGAACTTGGGTACTTTGCAGTTCTACACACGGATCATCCTCGGAGCCAATGTAAGCACAGCTCAGCACTAACATGAAGTGTACTCTGCAAGAAATCAGATAATGCCTATGAATAGACTTGGTGTACTTACATTCACTGTAGACGTCTAATCAGCATTTTTTTTAGATCATTAATGGACTATTCAAAAGACAAAGTAGTTAACTGACAGTATGTAACTCACTCCTCTAACTGTGCTGTAAGTCATCCAGTATGTGTAATCGTGCCCACTTGTCTCTAGGGTTGTCAAAAATAATCAGATACTAACCAATACTAAAATTGTTATCAAAACTAGATACTTATTTGAGCAAGTGTCAATGCTATAGAAATCACATTCACAGGACAGAAATTAAACTTTTCTGTTTTAGAATAAGCACATAGATTAGTATGACCGCATGGTAATACAAAAGAAAGTGCTATGATTTAATGTTGAAAATGACATTCTCTTGTCTAAACAAAGAGTTTTAAATTATTAGAATCAGAATTAATATTGAGTATTGACTCTATTCCTTAGTATCACGTGACAACAATAGTTGTCTCAAAAGTGTAGTAAACACAAGGCCCTTTTTCCCAACAGGCAATCTATGCAGTTGTGAACCTTCTCATTTTCTACAGCTCCTCTTCGTTTTGGACATGGGTGAGTTACTCTAACTCTAAACTGAAGATAAATGACTGATTCTTTTTAACTAGTAAATTTATCTAATTTTCTTGTCTAGCTGCTGCTGGCGTTTGCATTAGCTGTGTACATTGGCAGTTACCGCTCAATGTCATCCATGGCCAAGCCGGTGTTTGCTGAAGATGGGAGTCTGTTAGATGGAGGCATAGACCTGAACATGGAGCAGGGGATGGCCGAGTGAGTGGAGTCCTTCTTTACATACAGTCTACTGTCAGTGGTAGAGGAGAGTAAGAGGAACATTACTTAAAAATAATATTACTCAAGCAGAAGTACAAAGTAGAGGTCCAAGTAATTACTCAATTAAGAGTAAAAAGTACTGTATTTGGGAAATGTACTACTCACGTAAGAGTAACTTAAAAATGGGAAGTTAACTGAAATTAAAGTACAAAACAGAAAGCTTTTGTCACTTGTAGAATTAAATAAAGTGGGTAGAGTCAACAAACCTTTACTCAAGTAAGAGTATTGTTACCTCAATTAAAATATTCCTCAAGTAGAAGTAAAAGTGTGCTGCTAGAATAGTACTATTCTACTATAGTAAAGTTACTGACTTTCGCTAACCTCTGGTTACTGTTCCATACACGGTTCTAAAATGAGATTGTATCAGACAGTGTGTGTAGTGAACTGGAGAAGGAGCTCATGTAGGTTTGATGTTGCAGGCACCTGAAGGACGTCATTCTGCTCACGGCCATCGTACAAGTGCTCAGCGTCATCTCCTCGTACTTCTGGTATCTGTGGCTTCTGGTGAGAACTTTTTTCTTTGGAGTTATCTGATGTACTAAAAGACCTTTGCTACTTGATTCTTATGCTTTTGAAGCTTGCAGTCACTGATTTTAACTAAGTTATGAAAGAATGCAGCTGCATTTGGTTTTATTCATAGAACAGTGATTTCCAAATGGGCTTCACATCTTTATCATTCTGCACATTACACACAATCAAATCCTTTAAGTCTTCATTTTCAGCACAAATTGGGGATTTCTAAATGACTCTGTTAATCATGTTCAAGGAACTGTAGTCTGTGCTCTTACTGTTCTAACCAGTGTTTGTTTGTTTAAAACCTTAACCCAAATCTTAACCTTAAGAGGACACATCCTGCATTTGTCTCATTCTTAGTATATGGACAGGTCTCATGTGAAGGCTCACAACCTCCAGAATTCACTCACTGAGCTGCAGAGGCTGCACCAGCCCTGGTTCAGATTGTGTGCATTTTGAACAGAAATGTGGCTGCATACTTCTATCACATTTGTTCGTCTGAGTAACATTTGAATACTGTCTCTGTCTTACTGCTGTTAGGCTCCAGCCCGCGCCCTCCACCTGCTCTGGGTCAACATCCTGGGGCCCTGGTTCACGGCAGAGAGCCCATCAGCTCCAGAGGAGGTGAATGAGAAGAAGCAGAGGAGGCAGGAGCGCAGGCAGATGAGGAGATTCTGACACTGTACAGGCTAATCTAATACATGCAACACACAGGGCCATAGAGACATACCTTCTTCTATATTGTACTGTTCCACGAAACCCCAGCTCAACCGTACACTCTGGATTCTTCTTTTCCATCTGCGTTTGTGTTGTTCAGAGTCCAATTTACCAGAAAAAGTCTTTTTTTTTTTTATCATGTTTTATCATCTCATGATCTACCACTGTTTAAAGATGCACTGTGGAATGTTCCATATTATAGCATTAAACTTCTCTACCTGACATTGTATTTCAGTTATAGTGTTTATATTTGGTTAAACCCAGACAAAGACAAACCTTCATTCTTACTGTGAGTGGGATCTTGTCACCACAGATGTGACCTACACTATGGCCTTTTTGTCTCCATGGAGATGGATCATTTTATTTAGATTTTGGATAATACAGTGAAGTATGATCTCTGCGAACAGCAGCTTTGTCAGGACATTGCACACACACAAACACAAAACACAAAGGACCTTTGAACTAAGAGCATCTTCTGCTCAAACTGTGACATCAGCTCCTCATCCAGCTTCAGGACACATTGATGTCTAAAGGACTGTCAGCATACAGCACGACACCTGCAGACTTTGTATGGAGATGAGCAGGTGAACCTCCATCAGAAAAGTTTAACAGTGCATCTTTAAAATGACAGCTTCATCCCATCGACACACATGTCCTGTTCAGTCTGAGGAGTTTTCTGACTGTTCTTTGATTTCAAAACAAATGTGCCCAGTGTTTATTAAAGATGACCCATTATTAAATAATCTTAACAGATGTGGATGAAAGTGGAGATTTCTAATATAATGAATGATGCAATGTTTTTCAATAAAAGGAAAGTAAATCACTGCTGTGTTTTGTGTATTTCTTATTAAATTAGAGTGGAAATTAGGTTTGTGCAGAGGTGCTAGAGGAGCCAAAAATTGTACTCAAGTAAGCATATTACTTTGCAAATATCAGATTTTACACATTATTTAATTAAAAAACAAACTAAATCATCTGAAAGAGCAACATAAAGCTTTTGTCACTACTAGACTTCCTCATAGTGGAAAGAATAACCATAACTTTAACTCAGTAAGAGTACTGTTACTTCAATAAAAATATTGCTATTGGGAGCAAAAATATAATGCTAGAAAAGTAGAGTTTCTTTAAATAGTAGTGGTAAATATAACTGTAACTGAGCACTTTTCACCTCTGCCACCAAGGCCCACGTGTGGGCCTACTGCTAACAGCTAATGTGTGATCACTAGTATAGGTCCTGAAGCAACTGTAAGAACAAAATAATCTCCATCTTCTCCTGTGAGAAGGCACCGTCCAAAGGCTTCAGTTTGTTTTGGCTGTGTCTGAACCTTGCAGTGAGCTCCTTAGAACCATGTTGTGTGATGGCCACCCCTACTGTCCGCTTATTGACGGAAACATTTTTAAAGCCATGAAAACTTTTCATTTAAAAATCACCAGTGATAACTCTGGAAGTCCACCCGTCCCAAACTGCAGTGATATTGATCACTGTCACCATAACCTCTATATCATCTTATCCTTCAAGATTTGCTGGATGATCAACATTTTATCAGTCTCAGGTTCACAGTCACTGTCCTGCTTTAAAACAGACCTAATGAACTTCAGAGCTTATAACCATGTTGTAGTTATTTCCCTCTCATTAACCCTCTGAAGTCAGCTGACATGTTTCTTTTATGAAGTTGTTTTAGATCAATATTGAAATTTAAAATGTCCAAATGACAGTATGTCTGCTTTACGGTTCTTGTGAAAATGAGATAAATTAATTTCAATATTATTGTTTATGGTGACATTTTCAGATTGAGCCTATCACATTTTAAAAGTGCTATGTTGACAGGTTTAATGCTCTAGTTCTGTTTTGTTCTAAGGCAGGGGTCTCAAACTCAAATTACCTGGGGGCCACATTAGAGAAAGTCTGAGTGAGGCTGGGCCGCATTGAGTATCGATAAATAGCGATTGCATGGGAATAAAAGAGAGAGAAAGAACAACATGCAACACACTTTCTTAATTTTAATAACAGTTCAGAATATGAAAATGCATTCAGAACGTAAGTTTAAACTAATACGTCTACTCTTCTTCTTTTGCCTACTCCTTGCTGGTTGGAACCTGGCTACGCTTCATCTTGCACAGCTGAGAGATATTTGGCTTGCAGGAGGAAGCAGATGAGATCCTCAGGATAGATTGAAGATGCTCACCAGTGAGCCTTGACCTGTATTAGGTGCTTTCACACCAACAGTATTTGGTGCGCACCAAACGGTCCATTCGAACCAGAAGTGGTTAGCTCGGTTCGTTTCCGTTGGTGTGAAAGCGTCAATCGGACTCTGACCCAGACCAACTCAAGCGGACCGAGACCTCAAAAAAGAGGTGGTCTCGTTTCGCTTGAATCCGCACCTCTGGTGTGAACGCGAACCCGAGTCCAAACCATAGACAGCAGGTCCAAACGAACTATTTGAAATGCATCATGGGAGAAACGTGTCTCCTTTGTCTGTAATGACGCGCTGTACGACTCCAGTGCAGTAACAGATTGTTGTCCAGACGCAGCCGCGATTCATTTTCTAATTATTTTACCAACAATGGCCAATAAAGAGAATGTAACACACGAAGATCAGAGCAAGTCAAAAATGGGGGTGTGTACTTCTGTTCTGGACCTGCACAGAGGTCCCGGTGTTCCCCGTAATCATGTAGGAAACAGCATTTGTTATTTTCGGCTTTAATTAACCAAATAATTTTACGGCAATAGGCAATCGCCCATTCAATTGATTCACCTTTAAAAAATGTCCTGCTTTTAGCCTCGTGTGAGAAATACAGTCGGACTAGATCCAAACCCGAGTCCCGAACCAGCAGGAGCAGCTCCGGTTCTGTCCGGGCTCAGATGACGTGGAGCAGGGAGTGAAAAGCGCTTTCCCCGGGAAGAACCAAATGCGGACACCAACTAAACTGGATTCACACTTCTGTCCGGATGCTTTGCATCACCTCGGAACCAGCCGCGGTTCTTGAGCGCGGAGGACAGGAGCAGCAGCGCATTCTCACTTTCCCCGCACGAAACCAGCGCGCAGACGGCGGAACGTACCCGCTCAGACCCAGTCATTGCGCACTGGTCTTGCTCGCCACCGTCTGGAACCAGCATGGAGGACAGAGCCTTTGGACCATCTGACCAACGCACTTGTAGGACGACAGAAGACCAAGGACCAGACCCCAGCCCCGTCCTGAGGAGCTGCGCGCTACGGTGAACGCTGTTGGCTTCTGCTGTTACCCGAACTCTGGGCTAATGCGGTGAGTTTGTAGAGAGTTCTACATGTTGCTGTTTTATGAGTGGTGATAAGATGAGGATGGCCCGCGGTATTAACACTGAACATCAGTATTGGTTACTGGAGATATCACTGTTCTACCGGGATACAGAGGCTCGTTAATCGGACCAGTTTTTGGTTCGTTTGCCGGTGTGAAAGCGCCACACTGGAGTGTATCTGCTTCTCGTATGTCAAACATGGATGTTAGACGCTTGTTTTTGCCTCGTAGTTTTTGCTAACATGTCGCCAAGCCTCTGGAATAGATCAGTGCAGTTTTGTGGTGCTTGCATATTGATGGGACAACTGTGTTTGCCGCTGAGTGCGTGTGGATTTCGGCGACGCATACGTGGAGCTTGGTCATCGGGTTGCCAGCAAGTTACGCACCGAGTGTTGAGCAGGTAAACGGACTGTCAATGTCTTTTTATTTCTTATTAGCCCCTCCAATAATGGTCCCATACTTATGAACAGGGGAATTCTGTTAGCGCCTCCTCTGCTCTGTGCTCTGATACTGTGGTTGTGGGAGCGTAAAGTGAAGTGCGCACACTTTACCACCATGTGTGGTTTGTTTTGGTTCTTCGGTGACGCCATATGTGCGATCCAGTTAGACTCGTTGCTTCACAACTGCTGTAAGTTGAGTTTTGGGATGTAAACTGCGTTAATAATCTGTTGTGAATCTGCATGGGCACCGATTGCAGCTTCATCTGTCAGAGCGGCCCGCGGTAGGGGGGTGGGATTGTGCTTACATCTACCGCGGGCCGCACTGACATTATTCTTTGGAATTAAGTGGCGGGCCGCAAAAAATCCTTCTGAGGGCCGCAGTTGGCCCCCGGGCCGTGAGTCTGAGACCCCTGTTCTAAGGCTACAACAAAAGGGTATGTCTGTCATTTGTCACCATGTTTAAATGGCCATAAAATCCACATAGATTAGATCTCTTGATCTATTTGTACTCCATTCATACATGTGCAAACTGTCTATATACATTGTATATTGTTTTACATTACAAGCCAATTTTACTGTAAAAGTACACCCTGAGTAAACAATAAAAAGTAAAATTACATATTTTCAAAATTTAAAGAGAGAAGTGAAAAACGTTAGCTAAATTTATTAGAGCCTTGAACGTGTCAATAATTTATGATGGAAAACAAATTGGTGCATCATTGTGTTTTGAATGGAAAATTTATTATATAAAAAAATTAAAAATAATAATAATATTCTCATTGACCTCCATTATAAACACATGTCATGACTAAAACATTATAAAAAAACATGAATTCCAACAGAAATCAGGACAAAACTGGTCTGACTGTTTCGGTCTGAACGTCAAGAGTCTGTGAGTCCAGCACTGACACTGTGTGTGTGTGTGTGTGTGCTCTGTGTGTGTGGATAATTGGGACTTTGGCTCTTTAATGAGAGTCAGATCCTTGGGAGCCGTGCAGACAGACACACTCACGGCTCTTTAGAAGAAGCCAGTTTGATGACTCATTTTATCCAAGAACGAAGGTCCCTCACTCACACTCTGCTGCGTCTGTGATGTGGGCCCTTGTGCTGTGTCTGTGTGTGTGTCGTGGCCCCTCTGTTGTGTAGGGTTCTGCTGCCAGTTCTATAAATATCATATTTATAATATAATATTAAATAATAATAATAATTAATAATAATTAATAATAATTAATAATAATAAAATATATTTATAATATAATATTTTTTATTTTATAAAGAAGCATTTAATGGAGCTAAATGACTGTGTGATTGTGAGAAGACGGTCTGACGTGGGTAGTGTTGTGTTTTAGTTTTAGTTTTTCCTCAAGTGATGCAGAAAAGAGAGAGCCACTGTCTGTCTGGATGTTGATGTATGTTAGCTTAAAGCCACGGCGAGGTTCTCCACGCGCATGAGCCTCAAGGTGCTACGCCTCAAGGTGCTACGCCTCAAAGTGCTACGCCTCAAGGTGCTACGCCTCAAGGTGCTACGCCTCGTGTGCACCCGTAGGGAGAGAGAGGTGATGGAGCTGGACTCGTGCAGCATGTGTGTGGAGAAGTGCATTTACTGAAAACACAAATCCTCTCCACAAACTGTTTTTAACAAATCAGCATGGACTGACAGTTTCATATGTAAATAGAAAACTTCACCTATTTATCAGTTTTAAATGAAGCCCGACATGAGCGCTGTGTCTCCAGTGGATCACCTGCTCTCACAGAGATAGTAGAAAATCTGTCATTTGGCTGTAGATGCATATGGGCCATTCTGTGGGAAAGTTGCAGATTTAAGAATAAAAATTCAAATGAACTTTCATGGATTTTATTCAAACTTGGCACAATTCATGTTTATATATGATATATTATTTAAGTGAAATGTGAGTCTTTTCAAATATTTGAGCTCAGTATCATACAAAACAAAAATCTAAATGTTGCACGGTGCTTTTGGAAAAGAGAAACGTCCTGTTTGTTTGGATGAAATGCCACAATGAAGAGTTCAGCAGCAGAGCAGCACCTGTGCAACCATGGACCAGTAGGAATGATCAGGTAATTTTAGATCAATGTTTACAATGAA